AGTTGACACCATTAACTTATAATTCAAGAGATAACTTCTTTACGGAGCCATTCGTTTCAGCCCTGAAAACCCAATTAGTTTTCAATTTTCTCCAAAATTTGATTTATATAGTTCACATAAATTACTTATTCTATTTAGCTGCGGAACAAATTGATATCTTATTGCTGTATACTCGTGCAAAATGCAAGAGGAAAACCTGGTGAATAAAAAGGTCAAGTCAAAGTGTCAATCGATTGGTGGTGTCAAGTCAACCACTCAATGACCCCGGTTACGCGTGACGCAAAATAATGTTTTTGTTATATAACAAAATATTACTTTCCTGCCACTTCGAACTGTGATAGAATAACCCGCCCAAGTAAAAATATTTCTTGAGAAAAAACCACTCCCAAAAGAACTCACCTTTTCCTCTCTCTATCGCTTGGGTTTATAACTAATTGAGCTTACAACACTAGTATGCTGTAAATAAAATAATTGGGACGTGTAAAAGTGCTCTTAATAATAAGCCAACTACTAAGAACCATATTAATTAATTAATTTCAATTTTTTTGCACGAACTGGCTCTATCGTCTGAGAATCTCAATTGAACCGTTTTGGCTTAGCAACTTGTACTTCGGAGGGCACGAAACTGTATTTTTTTCGTGATTTTCACAATGTTTGGCTCACTTGAGAATCAAACCCAGTACAAGTCACTTTCTTACTTGTGCACTAGGCAACCCTAATGCCTTCATGTTGCGAAGGAATGGCGGTGACGATTGCTTAAAATTAGTCGACCTACGAACCCGTACGAGGCCTTTCTCTTCTATAGTAAAACTAATACAATATTTATTTATAAACTAATTCAATCTGTATTTATAGCACTTCTATGTAGGCCGGCAATTACCGGGGCTCAAAACAATTGTAATCGACAATAAACTAATTAAATAAACAAATATCTATGGAAATGCGATTCGAACAATAACGGATTCCGGCCAGAATTATTTCATTAAGGACGGAGGTAATATTATGTAAATTGGAATTCCTTGTAGCGGATAGACCTGGTACTAATTATTGTACTTATTGCTGACTATAGCCTTCGGACCCGGCCCCGGTCGCGCGGATTATGAACGGTATCCAGAACTAGTAAAATAAATTTTAATTTTCAAAGTTGAGTTTATTTCATGTTAACTAACTTGTGTTTATGGTGCCTATCTTCTATTTTAAAATAAGGTGTGCTAAATAATACGTTAAAAGTATTTCCTTGTCACCTTTCTAGGTACGAATGAATACCTACGACATTATTATCATAACTAGATGCAAGTACTCATAACTTGTATACAACTTTGGGTTGGACCAAACTTTCAATCTGCTGTTGAATTTCAGATAGAGGCTAGATAGATATTATATAAACTTCTAAACAGATTAGCAAGTAAACCCAGGTATCAAGCATTCAAAGTACAAGTACATTTATCTATGTATATCTATACTTATAATAAATCTGTAGAGAGGTCAATTCTGTACATGAAATATATTTTCAAAATAACTATCAGGGGGTGATTAGTGATCGATACTGATGCCAAAAATGCAATCAGTATAATTGTTGTCTGTCTGTCTGTATGTTCCTTATAGAAACAAAAACTACTCGACGGATTTTAACGAAATCCGTAGAATTATTCTCTATACTCCTGGGCAGGTTATACCTAGTATACGTAGGAGCAGAGTAGTGAAGGAAAATTTTGGGATAATAAACTGACTGACTGACATTTCAACGCACAGCCTAAACGGCTAAACGTAGGCACTTGAAATTTGGAAGGGACGTAGCTTAGGTACCGTAGAGGTGCACTAAGAAAGGAATTCCCTAAATTCCCACGGGAACGGGAGTTAGCGGGAAAAAACATTTGTATGAAAAAATCTAAACCGCGTAAGATAAATGAAGGGGGTAAAACGGAATCCACGCGTACGAAGTCGCGGGCGGCCGCTAGTATTATAATAAGATTAGTGCTTTCAGTTATCGATTTATTAATTTATAATAATACAAAGTTTACCGAGAAACTATGAAAATGTATCTCCATGCCAATAATTAAATCGAATTTCATTTTAAGTCGTAATAAATTGAAACTTAGTTTTAAAAGTCATAACAACGTCGCGTCAATGATCAGGCGCGTGAACTTCTCAATTATAAATTTAATTACACAAAATTGTTACATTGTCTACAAGTTCTTAATTAGGTCACAAACTGAAAGTTTAAAACAAATACAAGAATTTCTAGCAGGCCTGGCTCACTCCGCGCGGTACATCCGATAATTACCTACAGCGAAGCGCCCTGCCGGCGGGTATTATATCAGTCGAGTGTCACGCGCGCGCCCGTCAGGACGCTGGCGTGCGTTGTAGTAACTAATTCTATGATCGAAGTATTATTTAAAAATGGACATAAAGAGAAAGAAATATTATTGTGCGGCGTTCGGGTGTTTAAATTCGAAAAGAAATCTACCGGATTTATCTTTTTTTTCGCTTCCCAAAGATGCTGAAAGGTATGTTGACCATGTAGGTAATCAATAATTCTTAGGATAGTAAAGGAACCTAACCTACCATGACTACTGCTCAGAATGCGTTCGTTCGTTTCAGCCAAAATAAATGACGTCAACTGCTGGGCAAAGGCCTCTCCCAAGGTTTTCCATAATGAATGCGTACTTACCTACATACGTACCTCATAACAAATAAGTAGATTAATTATTTTTTTTACTAGACACTACTAGACAGCAACCCTAACAGCGTAAGAAGAGTTCAGAGGCACGCGATAAAAAGAGACAAAACTTGTAGGTGAATAAAATTGTAGGTACGTAGTGCTGTGCGAGCTGAATTCCACTGTATCGCGTCGTAGCAAGACTCGCATTTATTTAAATCGTCTTGCGGAGTAATCCTTCTGTACCTGTACTATTACTTATTCTGTGTTTCTAGGAAATTGATCATCCGATTAACTTGTTATTGAAAGACGTCGCAATTAACTGTTCGCTACGTAGAATTTATCATTTGAATAGATGATTGAAGTTCAAACTAAAATTTTATTTCATTTAACTGTAGTGAAATGAACGAGAACCATATTAATAAGACATTACTATATTCTGATACAAATAAATAAATTCAAACATCAGCCGGCGTGCAGCGATGGCGATCAGACTTAAATGCATTGATCGCCATCGCTGCTGCACGCCGGCTGATCGCGTGTGATCGCGTTGGTTTGGCTGAATCTTAAGCCCTACTAATTCACCATTTACAATGACGTAAATATATTTGTAATCGAGCCTGAAAGCAATCAGTGTAATTAAATGATAACAGCCAATAGCAACCCGATATTATTAGGTAGTGCGCCATTATCCTCATAATCTGTCACTCGCTTCTGCCTCACTTGCCGACAATGCGGCCAAATTGCCGAAGATCAAACGCAGGAGTCCGTTAGCTCGTTAGCTCGGTTCTGGTACACTTGCGAGAAAGACACTAGCGCGGAAGACATTTGCGCGTATGGACACTTGCGCGAAACTTGACTTTTCGCTAGTGACCGACCGAATATTCGTTTTCGTTTTCGTTTTCGGCCATTTTCGGCCAAAAAATGGACATTCGGCCATATTTTCGTTTTCGGCCAAAAACCAGCCGAAGCTTCGGCCAAACCGAATATCAGAAATACGTGAATAAGATGGTGACGTTTATCGTTCCGATATCTTCGGGAGTGAATCTGATGCACTCATGGTTCCAATCAGACTTGAACGGACGCGGTATTGTCACACTCTTTTGAAGTTTTGAAGTGAGGTTACATTGTAAAGGGTGTCCAGCGAAAATTTTCCAAGTTCAAAATTGAATACAAATAAAACCAAAGAGTTTTCATTAAGTTTAATTGTTTCAAAATAGAGTCTAATGCGGATTTGAAATACGCCATGAGTNAAACTGGGTAAAGAGCAACACGGATATTCGACATAAGCTTCGTTTTTTCCACATTCATCCGAACGAAGGCCTACCTGTTGGGAAACTCGATTAAGGTCTTCAAGCATTCCGATAAGGTCTTCCAACGGTTCTGCCTTAGTACGCAAAACAGACGGACGATGAGGCAGCAAGGTTCTGAAGTGGAGGCCACGTACCGGAAAGCGCAGCTTAGGACTCATAACCACAAGATGGACCGACGACCTCGTAAAGGTAGCAGGAAGGCGCTGGATGCAGTCCGCCACCAACCGGGCAACCGGCCATTGTGAAAATCTGCATCGGATCCTGTGTTCAGCAGTGGACGTCCTATGGCTGATATGATGATGATGATGGCTCGTGGTTTTGTGAGTAATCGATAATCAAAAAGGAAAAGTTGGCACCCCTGGCGATTGACAGGACCTTACTCTACAATGGTGCCATCTTGATGAGTGCAAATGCGATAGTCCTCCTACCACTTTAGCGCTCACAAGTTGGCGCCACTGTCTTCGCTACTAGCAAGTGACAGGACCTTACTCTACAGTGGCGCTAACTGGTGAGCGCTAAAACGATAGCCCTCATTTTTGTAACACGTGATTTGAATGACTCTAAAATTCGTTCCGCCAACATAAAACAGGGTATATTATGAAGGAGTAAAAGTTTGTTTGATTTTACAAAACACTTTAATTATTTGCTAGTCCATATAGGCTCATTATCAGTAACCATTCATTATCAGGTGATCCGTCTGCTCGTTTGCCTCTTGTCACATAAAAAACCAAATGCAATGGATGGATACCCATAACGTAAAAATGGTTATAAAATACTTCAATTTTATGAAGTGCTGTTTTGTACCAAATTAAAGGAATTAAAATCATTATTTAGTTGTAAATAATCCAGAATTCTTACGAATATAACCAAATATTAAATTTATAGCACATGAACTCAATTCCGATATTAATATCGGAATTCCGATATTGAGATCTAATATCGGAATCCAATATCGGAATTGAAAACCTTCCGATATTACATGCCCTACATCAGTCCTCTATGATTCGTTCCTTTAACCTCGTTCGTAGGGCTTGTTCGCCTTCCACATGGAGCTGAACCCTGGGTACCGGCTGATCCAGGAGACGTACCGCGAGGACGAGAAGTGCGACCTGGTGGAGATCGACTACATCAACGAGATCGACCCCTGGGTGCCGGGGCAGAAGCGCTCACCTTTCAAAGACCTCTTCAAGATTAAGTAACTTTTATAATAATTATAAAGATTTTAGCTTGGCACGAAGAATAATCACTTCCCCCAACTGTTATTTCTATTATTCATATTCAATCAAAATTACATTTAAACTCAAGTGCGGATTTAAAACTGGTGGAGTTCGACTACATCGACGAGATCGACCCCTGGGTGCCGGGGCAGAAGCGCTCGCCTTTCAAAGACCTCTTCAAGATTAAGTAATTTTATGGCGTAGTTTTTGCCCAACCACGATCTTATTTCTATTATTCATATTCAATCAAAATTACATTTAAACTCAAGTGCGGATTTAAAGCTGGTGGAGTTCGACTACATCGACGAGATCGACCCCTGGGTGCCGGGGCAGAAGCGCTCGCCTTTCAAAGACCTCTTCAAGATTAAGTAATTTTATGGCGTAGTTTTTGCCCAACCACGATCTGGTAAGCGTATTCAAGAACTGATCTATTATCGGATATATTGTAGTCTTGGGCTCATATTAAGAGAAGACGATCAAAACTAGATTCAAACATGAATCAAAACAACATGAAACTTCTCAATTTCGATTGGTAAATACTCGTAATATTTAGGTTAATGTCGAGTCAAACTTGAATATCTTACTATGTATTAAATAATTAACTATGGAGATTTTCATCAGCGGTAAAAAAACAAAGCAGCATCAGCACCTTACCTATTACAAAATATAACTCCCTCAAATTGTCATCACCACTACTTAATTGAAGAATGATTCAGAAGCTCTAACCTTCAACTAAGATCTATAAATTTAGCATTGACGGTCTACTCCTCCTCTTTAGATTTTGGGATGTTCTATTCCAGCTTCATCAAAATCCGTGAGTCTGGCATCCAGTCGTGCATCCACCACCGTCTACACGTACCACGGCCGCGGTGCTCGGGCACCGTGGCAACTTTCAGCAGCGTCGGCGTTGCTGATATGTACCCGGCACTGCTGGCTACGCTTTATGGAATGCTGTTAGCGCCAGCTGTGCTGATGCTGGAGATAGTCTACCACCGCCTGTAAGTCCTATTATCTGTTGGGCTTCAACTGAACTATGTGTATCTGTACAGTAAAGAGCAACTAAAGGGGAGAGTCGCAGTAGGTACCTCCGTGGCTGGAATAAGAGGACTTGTCCTTCAAGTAAGTAAGTAGGTACAGTGACAACTTATTATAGTGTAGCTGGAACCGGCTCCAATGTGCTGATCGCCTGTAACTCTTCGTCGTCATAGAGTTGACACCTGTGTCCTTCAGCACCGTCGGGTGGCTGATATTTAACCGGCGCTGCTGGCCACGCTTTATGGAATGCTGTTAGTGCCAGCTGTGCTGTTGCTGGAGATAGTCTATCACCGCCTGTAAGTCCCCAAACCACTACAGATATGGTATCGTCCACTAAAGTGCCGAAGTTGCTAACTAAAGAACACGCTGAAGATCACCGCTACTGCCTTCGCTGGACCAAAACTCTATGACATTGGTGGGCTTATCCTCAATTAAGTAAGAAGGCGGCCTCCATTGTGTCTTTCAGCAGCGTCGGCGACGACGATATACCCGGCGCTGCTGACCACGCTGTATGGAGTGCTGTTAGCGCCAGCTGTGCTAATGCTGGAGATAGTCTACCACCGCCTGTAAGACCACCACTTGACCTCCCACTGAATGATGTTTTCAAGAAGTGGAGGAAAGAATATTGGAGTCGGTAGGTACCGCCACCGCTGGACTGAGACTCCTGGACACTTCCATGTCGATTTCACTGACTGAGGACTTTCCCTCAAGTAAAAGGTACGGTAATTGTTAAGAGCTGCTATCAGCTGTGCCGATCACTAACTAACCCCTGTAAGCCTCCGTCATTATAGAGCTGACTCCAGTGTGTCCACGGTGTTCGGGCACGGTCTTCACATTCAGTAGCGCGAGTGTCGCTGATACGTTCCCGGCGTTGCTGGCCACGCTGTATGGAACGTGCTACTGCTACTGACACCTGCCTGTGATCATTTTGGTGATCATCTGCCATCGCCTCTTCCCCATTATCACAGGCCGTCCACTGCCTGTCGCTCGAAACGTAACTTCAAACTCCTCCAATGTTCTACTGGTAAAGGACAATGACCAACAATGTATGGAGTGTGGTCCAAATGTCCACCACTAACGAGACCTATCTAGTAAAATAGTGTACTAAATACTGATTCATTATAACCAAACCGCAATCAAAAATATGCTGTCAGTAAAAAGTTATGACTGAATGAAAAGTCATGTTTTATACCTTTTCATCCGAAAAATGTTCTTGATATCATTCTATCCATCGCACATTTTGGATTAATCTATGCATGTTATGTCATGTCGTTTAGTGTGCCGTGTTAGATTCTCGCTAAAAGGAAAAAAAATAAGCTCAGAAGAAAGACATCAATATTGGAATTATGGTCGGGTGGTCGCTGCTCCGCCCCTATTGGTTGTAGGGTGATGTTATATAACCTAAAACCATCCTTGATAAAGATAGCCCATTCATAACAGAAATATTTTTTCAAATCGGACTAGTAGTTCCTGAGATTAGCGCGTAAACTACTACAATTTTTCATACGGTCATAACGTTTTACTGACAGCTTATTTTTTTTTCGTCCCATACTGAAAGTTAATCTCTATTTATTGGACTATAAGCCAATATAGGTCTCATTAGTGGTGGACATTTGGACCACTTTTGGTCATTGTCCTTTCCTTACGAGTCCAATGATAGTTTAACTTTCCCTCGGGACAAACTTGACCTTCACAGGATGGGTTTTTATTGGCGATAAAGCTGTAGATCCTGGCTACACAGGAGTTGCAGCGGTGGTAACGAGAGGTGGAAATAGTCCCGTGCCTGTCGAATAAAGATCAAGCAAGACAGAGAGAACCGTAGTCGATACAACCAACACTGGACCGAGACTCGTGGACATCGGATCGGTAGCTGACCATCATACACCTGTCTCCACTGTGGCCAAGTTTAGCAGCTTAGGCGACTGACATGTACCTACTTTTTAAAATAAACTTTTTTATTTTCTTTCAGAACGGAGCTGAGGGCCAAGTCGAAGAAAAGAAGGTGTATATCTAAGTTACAGCGGCGAAATTAAGTCGGAAAATATATATTTAAAATTTTACTCACCATTAGGTAAAGTGCACAGATAATAATATAATACTAATTAATAAGCTTTACGTAAAAATATGGACTTGTCGTTAGTGTTGAAATTACCAATGATCAGTGGCGGATTAACGTATAAGCACTACAAGCACGTGCTTGGGGCCCCTGTTCTCCAGGGGCCTCCATCCTCTGCAGTTTCTATGGCAAAGTTTCTTAGAATTTTCTGTTCTTTCATAATATAAACGCAAAATTTTTGAAAAATGGGTAGTTTAAAAGATAGCATGTCCCTTACATTAAAAAAACGAGCTTGACTGTACCTTACAATGTTGAAATTTCACAGTATGGAATGTCATGTATGTTGTAAGGTACATTTAAGAATAAATACGACAGTAATATTATTGTAACTTGACAATTTTAACATTGAAACCTGATGTAAGTAGAGGTTGCATTCGAGTTTTCATTAACAAAATGAAGAGAAGAGATAGAAACAAGACAACTTAGTGTTCACAAATGCAGTTGGAGGCATCAAATACACATCACCAACAAAACATTTAGTCAATGATGATGCCTACGTCTGCATTTGTGAACAAGTTGTCTTGTTTCTATGTTTTTCTGTTTATTTTTACGCAGTTAGGTTTTTTTTCAATCATCGTTCGTTCGTTTTAGCCGAATGACGTCCACTGCTGGACAAAGGTCTTCCCCCAAGGATTTCCACAACAACCGGTCTTGCGCCGCCCGCATCCAGGCACCTCCTACAACCTTCACCAGATCGTCGGTCGACCTAGTGGGGGTCTGCAGCACATTACGTCTTCCAGCTCGTGGTCGCCACTCAAGAATTTTTCCTGCCCCAGCGGCCATCAGCTTTGCAAGCTACGAGCTCCAACCACTGCCACATGATCTAGCGATTCTGCGGACTATGTCAGTCACTTTGGTTCTCCTGCGGATCACGTCATTTCTGTTCAATCACTACGAGCATAGCACGCTCCATCGCCTTTGACCTTGAGTCTTCTTATGAGGCCCATAGTAAGCGACCACGTCTCAAATCCATAAGTTATCAAAGACTTTTGTCTTGAGACAGTACGATATTTCAGACGTGAGAATATCGCGAAGCTTCCTGAACGTTGCCAGCCGAGTTGGATTCGACGATTGACCTCTTCCTCGAAGTTGGACCTACCTAAGGCTGGTTTTAGTGTCACGCGGACCGTCAGTGCGGATCGCTCCGCACAGCCAATCTGTAAGAACTGCTAGGGAGTGAGCGATTCCTGCGGACCGCATTACTCTAAAACGCTTCCTCGAAGTTTACAGATCGGCTGTGTGGAGCGGATCCGCACTGGACGGTCCGCGTGACACTATAACCAGCCTAACTGGATTGTTTGTACTAGGTATATATAATTGTCAACAACTGCCGAGTGTAGAGTATCCAACCCAGTGTTGCAAACGTTCCCGATTTATCGGGAGATCTCCCGATTTCGGCTCTTCCCTCCCGATATCCCGATTTAACGACCTAATCTCCCGAATTTCCATTTCCTTTATTTTACTACTAAGGTGCCAAACAATTCTAAGGCCGACAACACTAAAACTAACCTGGTAACACTTAAACTATGCAGGGGAATTCCCCAATACTTCTCGCACGGCCTTTCACTACCGCAGTATACACAAAAGATATTGCATCGAAACGCATTCACAATAAGGTTCAATATTGTTTAGAGGAAATTCCCTTAAAATAACAAACTCTCCACCGAATCTATTATAGGTCTCCTACACACTAAAAGATTTGTAGTAGAAAATGACCAAATATGTTATAATTTTAAGATAGAACATAAAATGTTTGAAAAAATTGCTGCCAAGAAATGGTATGAGCATTAATAAACCTAAAAATATACCTTTCTTTATTTTTAATAAAGTTTACAGTATTTAAAGTAAAGGTATAGACTTTTTTTTAAATCACCCGATTTCTCCCGATTTTTGGCTAGAAAATGTACCGAATTTTATTTTTTGACTTTTGCAACACTGGCCATACCGTAGGCGTTTTTCCTTCGAGGATGACGGAATTGAACAGCTTCTGAAGAGCCTTCAGCCCCTCGGTCAAAAACCCGACTGCGTAAAAATGAACAGAAAAAAGATAGAGACAAGACAATTTAGTGTTCATAAGTGTAGTAGGAGTGGGAGACATTAAATGCATATCACCACCAAAAAAAGTAATTGATATCCTATATGCATATTTTGACGTAAGGGCCTAATTATGATAAATCAAAAAGTTTAAAATAAAGTATGGTTCAATGAGTTCAAAAGTTAAAACCAACAGTTTAGGGTAAGGGCTGAATTGTATTATTAAAAGGAATTTACGTCCTTTAAGTCATTTATTTCCCCAAAAGTCGTATTCAGACGACTAAAAATGTTTAAGGTATGGGACATTTTTTTAAAGATATCAACATTTCAAGTATACCAATCGATAGAGCCGAAAATTCTGAATGCTCATTCAACTCATTTTGGCCAAAATGTCCCTTACATTAATTGATACTTCCACCATCGATATTTATAAATGTATATTCAAATAAACATGCGATGTGAAAAAAGAAGAGAAACAAAAGAAGTGTGCTAGTGTAAGACTAATTAGTCCAGTCATTTAAGCTTAAATTAGGTAAGAATCTCGGAATTAGAGATACCCAGCTGTAAGTCTGTAAATACTTGTATATTGACACCCTAAAAGTTGTCTCAAAACCTACATATGGTAGGGTGTAAGCAACTATTAAATTTTAAGGTCAAAGGTCACAAAAATCGGTTTTTTGCGCTTTTTTTGGAAATATCTCATTTCCTATGGGTTTTTTGCTATTTGTATTTATCATCAATATTGTAGAATACTAAATTCTCTACAAATTTTGTTTAAAAACTTTTTTTATACGGTGAACCGTTTTCGAGATAGAGGGCGGAGAGCGCGCGGTCACTGCATCACTTCAGGTCAACTTAAGCGGTTTAGGTTTTTCATACAAAAGGATTTTCCCGCTAATTCCCATGGTAATTACTTGTTGTAAATAAGCTTTAAGTTTACTAAGGTACCTACATGCCAAATTTCAAGCGTCTAACTTCCGTTAAGCGTTTAGATTTTTCATACAAAAGGATTTTCCCGCTAATTCCTGTTCCCGTGGGAATTCCTAAGTAAACTATAACCTGCCCAGGTGTATGAAGAATAATTGTACCAAGTTTCGTTAAAATCCGTCGAGTAGTTTTTGTTTCTATAAGGAACATACAGACGGACAGACAGACAGACAAAAATTTTACTGATTGCATTTTTGGCATCAGTATCGATCACTAATCACCCCCTGATAGTTATTTTGAAAATATATTTCATGTATAGAATTCTGTCCGTCTGTATGTTCCTTATAGAAACAAAAACTACTCGACGGATTTTAACGAAACTTGGTACAATTATTCTTCATACACCTGGGCAGGTTATAGTTTACTTAGGAATTCCCACGGGAACAGGAATTAGCGGGAAAATCCTTTTGTATGAAAAATCTAAACGCTTAACGGAAGTTAGACGCTTGAAATTTGGCATGTAGGTACCTTAGTAAACTTAAAGCTTATTTACAACAAGTAATTACCGAAATTCCCACGGGAATTAGCGGGAAAATCCTTTTGTATGAAAAACCTAAACCGCTTAAGTTGACCTGAAGTGATGCAGTGACCGCGCGCTCTCCGCCCTCTATCTCGAAAACGGTTCACCGTATAAAAAAATTTTTTAAACAAAATTTGTAGAGAATTTAGTATTCTACAATATTGATAATAAATACAAATAGCAAAAAACCCATAGGAAATGAGATATTTCCAAAAAAAGCGCAAAAAACCGATTTTTGTGACCTTTGACCTTAAAATTTAATAGTTGCTTACACCCTACCATATGTAGGTTTTGAGACAACTTTTAGGGTGTCAATATACACGTATTTACAGACTTACAGCTGGGTATCTCGAATTCCGAGGTAAACTTACTATAATGACTGGACTAAATATCATTGTGGTTGCGTTTAGTTACTAACTGCTTTGCTGAACGATCCTTAATTCTCACAACTAAAAAGGTTAAAAAAACCCGCAAAGAACAAAAATCCGTCCGGACAAGCTTAATTATTTAGCATTAATGTGTATTGAGGCAGACATACTTCGTCGGATAAATTTCGACGATGTAATCTCGGAGTTTGCTCTGATTAAGGCAAGGAAAATAATGTTTTAAGTTTTACATTTTACCTACTACACTTTCTATTTTGATGAACTTTCATTTTATACTTTATACTTTCCATTCCATTCCTTCCATTTCCATTTAAGCAATAGAGGGCCTACACAGGCTCTGTGCTTAAGGCCTCGGATACTCTTAATCCGCCACTGCCAATGATGAGTACTTTGCACACAAATTAATATTTAAATAGATCGAAAATTTATCTATGTTGTAAATTATCTAGTGTAGAGTAGTAAAATATTATTTATTAGATAAGTATTAGGAACTTAGATTAGAAACAATAGAGCTTAGAAAATGGACTCATTATAAGACTTACCTACTTACATAACTGCAATTTGAGCACGATTTTAATATTCAATGTGACACAGGCATTACAAGAAAATTATCATGTTTCAAATTACTGTGTTTCTTTTAACAACAAAATTACCTTTCCTTTGAAGTTAAACAGTTAAAAAGGCAATATGGTTTTCAGTTAACATAACGCATGAGTTATTTTGTAACTTCCCTACAGACTACTAGAAACCTATGCTAAGTTGCTCAATTACTTGCAAATTGTGTTTTTAAAGTTTTCATTACACCATCGAAGTTTGAAGAATTGACATCATGAGGTCTGTTTTGGTTTTCATGATAATCATAAAAGTGGTGATCGGAAAAGATGATTTTACGATCAATTTCATAAAAAGTTTTATAGAAAATGAAAGGAAACCAACCCACCTTATTTACAATGGCCTTTGCTGGGGAAAAAGTAAGTACCTACTATAATCTCATGATTTATTTGTACCTACCTATATCATAATTAAAAACTCTTGCAAATAAATAAGAGCCCGCCACCTTGATTGCTAAATACAAATAAAATTATTTATTAGTTACCTATTTAGGCTGAGTTGCACCACCTAACTTTGACCGTAACTATGAAGATAGGTAACCGGTTTATTTTGTATGGATTTTGACAGATTTTTGACGTTTGTCAAAGTTAAAGTAAGATGGTGCAACCCAGCCATAGTGTGTAAGATTGTAGGCCCTTTTCAGGGCACATTATACACGTCCCAGACTATTGGCTCTGTGCACGATTACAGCGCCAACTAGCGTCCACAACTTTGTGGGCTCTGTCACATTGACATTTAGGTCGTTATTTGTGAAAAAATATCGAAATGAAAAAATAACAAATATTTTCGACTAATAAATTGTTGTGATACCACGATTTGGGTGGAAATAAGGTTTTGAAATCATTTTGGTCATTCAAATCAAATGAGGTAAGTCCAAAAAGTGTGTTTAATTTTGATTGTGTCAGGGTTTGTTTACTTCATTTATAGTTGTAGTTTTACAGTAAAACAAAATTAAAAAGCTACTTTAACGGTTTCATTGTATAACAGTAAATATATTTAAATGTTCCTGTATCGCTAGTAATAAATTAAATATCGTTTTCAGATCGAAATGAGTATTGTTTTGAAGACCGGGTTTGTGAGTGTTACAATATCAAATTCCATCCACAAACCGTATTTAAAGGAAAGTTGTTGGTATTGGCTGGACAAGTCCGAGATATAGAAGAATTAAGAACAAAACAAGGGCAGAGTTCAATAATTCACACTCTCATCATAAGGCAAACATCTGTGCACAACAACTACTGTGACTCATTTTTGTACTACCACGTTGTATAGTCTAGTTATTTCCAAATTGTAAACGGCTATTAAACCAGCCCCATCGAAATACAGTCCACTCTTTTATTTAAGTTCCCAGTAGGACCCTTTTCATGTGATTAATTAATAATATTAAAATGTATTATGTAGAATCGCTTTGCCATTGACAGATACATCTGATGACAGAGCTTACATTATTTCTACTTTTGACCACCATGAGCGCTGCGATAGATTATGTTACCCCCACCTAGTACTTCGCACCCAGCGAATAGTTTGCCCTGCTACCACTTCGGGATAATATAGCTGATGCTGAAAACAAGTGGTGGAAGAAACTCGGCCAACCTTTATAATAATACAACGACCTCTGTAGTTTTAATTAAAATTAGCCATTGCTTTCTCTTGTAGTCTTGTAGTCTTTTGGCGAAACATACCTAACGGGTTCCGTGGTGTAGTGGTTATCACATCTGCTTTACACGCAGAAGGCCGCCAGTTCGATCCTGGCCGGAATCATATTTTTATTTTTCAGTATAATGCACTTTTTATTTCTTCTACTTTATTTTTAAAAAGCTCAATTTGAGACACTAGCTTTTGTCCGCGGCTTCACCCGCGTGAAATTTAATTTGTCACATATCGTCATAAATTGCCTATAAGGTCACCTCCAAAAGAGACGAGATATAAGAGACAAATAAAACATCTTAAATTAATTCGTTTTAGATAATACAACCATATTTTTAGAATGCTAGTTTTCGAGATTTTTTGATGTTATATCGAGTGAACCCGAAGTGCGAAAACAGAAACTAGCCTATTTTTTGTTTTAATGCTAGGGTCCAATTTGTCTAATATAATTAGATGCAAATTTTGATTAAAATTCGTTCAGTAGTTTTTGCGTGAAAGAGTAACAAACATTATTTTAGTAGGATAATATTATTTGTATCTTAACGTTTGCAGAAATGGAATTAAACTTAGTCAGCGAATTATTTAATTATGGGGTAAGATGCTCTTCATCTAATCTGCCCCGATCCACGAACCAGGATCATGACTTGATGTTCCTTGTCGACTTGGACTGCCCTGATTCTGAAGAGGTTCTAAGAAACGTAAGTGTAAAGCTCAAAACAATTTTACTAACGTTGAGTGTAAAGCGCGCTAATGTGCGCCTGTAAAAATTATCATGGCAAATTCTATGATCTAGAACTTGAGGAGAAATGCCGGCCGCTTTGCTTTGACGATATCATAAAGTTTAATTTTTTGCCGCCTCTGTGGTCTAGTGGTAACTAACACCTGCTTCAGATTTTTCTATTCGGTTTGGTTGGTGGTAGGGCTTGTTCTAAGTCCGCCTGGCTAGCTACCACCATCTTACCTACCTAAGTCTGTCGCCATAATAACAATGTTAACAGCATTGTTGTGTTCCGGCAGTAAGAGGTACCTAAGATAGCCAGTTCCTCCGTGGTTGAGGGTTCCGGGTGAAGCTCGCTTCCACCTTCGGCCTGATCATCACTTACCATCAGGTGAGATACAGGCCAAGAGCTTCCTCGTTGTGGATAAAAGAAAAGTTAGGTATAAAGTTTTAGTTAGTCATTGATGTTTGAAGTGCGTTTTCAATTTGAAATTTACTTATTCTAGGCATCGTCAAATAACCTGTTTAGATTCCCTTTCCGTTGGTTGGTACTGTCCAAGGCAGGGTTAATGGATCATAGAAACGCTACCTTGTGGAAGTGCCCAGTGTTGATAAGCAGTGACTTGGTGCTTGCAGAGGAGAATGAAAAAGAATTCGTTTTGACCGAGTGTAAGTAAGATTTAAAACTTTCGCATACTATTTCAACTAAAATAGTAAGACACGGGTCAACGCGATGTTTATTATTGAGTTACATTATGTACTCGAATTTTCCCGTCAAGTACGAATACGGATACTGTGAGTGTTGTGTGTCGTGGTAACATCACTAGTGGTAGTGTAACAAATCACAATATGAGGGTAGTTGAAAATTTTCAAGCCCACCCGAACGGACGGAACGGACGACGCCGCGAGCTGCCAGTCTGCTTGTGACGACGGCTGCAGCATCGCATCCGAAACGTCAAGCTGTGAGTAAGTACTTATTGTAACTCATTAATAAACGTCGCGTTAAGACCCGTGTCTTACTACGAGTATATTTTATGTAAGTACCTATCTATTTTGAATTACCTCCTAAAGTACGGCCAACTAGCAGCGATACGAAAGGTCGATTCGACTGTCGAGTTGACAATCTATTCTGTCTCTTCCCACCCTGTGTATTTGTCGTAATGTCTCGTTCTCCCGCCAAAATATGTCAAAGTCAGACGGGTTCGTCAACATTCGGACATACATTTTAGTATACATACCTAGTACATATAGCAATTCACGAGGGCGAATCTGTTACTTGTCGGTTCATTTTATTATTCCGATATAAGTAGGTACATATTTAGGGGAGACTGGGTACGGTTGAAACAATTTTGCTTTTATTGTCTATAATTTTGTTGTTTAATAACCAAGTGACGATTACGATACGTGAAATTGAAATTTGAAGTTTTAGCTATGATATGGCTGTATCATTATAGTTCCCGGGTTACTATTTATAGAAATATACGCCAATAAAAAAAAAGCAAATTTTGTTTCAACCGTCCCCATGCCAGGGGCGGTTGAAACAGCGATTGGGATCTGTTGAAAAACATACAAATATTACAATAAGTACTAATAAAACGTGTTTTATTTATCATTAATAATACGAATATTCAAATTATAGTACCACATGACGACATTAATCAGTCTAAGTATTTAATACTTCTAAAACATTAATTAGCCTTTGATTAGTAGTAAACATTTAAAAAAATTATAGAAATGTGATTAATTAAATGGTATTTCCAAACCTAATAAACATTAATAATAAAATAATATTAAAATTCTGAATAAATTTAACGAAAATCTTTTTTTTTTCAAACCATACTTTTCCGCCGCTTTCCGTAGTGAATCTCAAGCTTTTACCACCTCTAATGCTTTACTAAGTCAATTTCCTTTCTGGAAATCTTCCTTACCCAAACTCTCGGTATCTACAAAAAATAAACATTAATCAATTTTCTGTTTCAACCGTACCCACAAAAAATGTTTCAACCGTCCCCAACCCCACTTTTGGTAAAATATACTTTAGTTTCGACACTAATGATAACACATTAAAAATAGTTACTGGTCCTTATTCTACAAGCTTCATTATAATCGCAAACGCACACTCGATACATTCACATAAAAAGAACAGGTAGTATAAGCGTTAATTTCTGAAGAAAAATACTTACTTTTGGGCAGTAAAAAACAATATGGCGTTTTGCACACAACGTCAACGCCTTAGGAAGTTTTAGGCACTAAATTCGTGTTCGGACCTGTTGTCCGCTTCTTTTTTCCCCTAGGACCCCTAACTCCCCGTGGAACCGTTTACGAGATATTTGCTCTGTTTCAACCGTCCTTTGTTTCAACCGTACCCAGTCTACCCTACTAAGTAAGTCTCTAAAAAAAAAGGGTAGGCCTGTTGCCATACACCGGGCACATTGTGAGGCAGAAATGTTATTATTATTCTCGTTATTTAATTTAAATCTACATTATAATTTAAATTATTGTATAAAAAAAACACAAATCAACAAAACATTTATTTTTATGGTTTGCCAGATATTTTTTAAAACTATAATTATTGCCTACAAAAATATTAAATCTACGAGTCGAATCTATTAAAAAGTTATGCCCTCCTGCTATTCCCAATGACCATGACATTGGGTTTGTTTACATTTGGTATCGCTTCTCGTTGGCCGTACTTTTTAGCTGCCTTTTCTATCTAAAATTTTTTAAGTTTGATAAAATACCTAAGTATCCCTTCCTATGCAGTATACAGGTCGTCACCGGACGGTCCAATGTTGTCCTCCCCAAGAGGAAAATACAACGGGGCCTTCTTAGACTCCAGACCCCACCGAGAGCTGTTCCGTAGAAGACGGGACCTGATGGGCCACGCGCTAGTCATGGCCAACGTGATACAAGACAGCAACTCGACCAAGGAACACTTGCTGAAGGAGGATAGACTGTAAGGCCCAATACACGGAGAATTTCATTACCATTCATGTTTATGTTCGTAGTTAGCAGCCTTACATTGTTACACTGCACACTGAGCCATCTAGTGTCAAATTAAGCAAAGTTTGTGTGATTGTGCTCCAGGTAACGGAAATAGGCTAGGTGCATACTACCTACATAAGTAAATTATCGAGAAAAACGCAGACCGATCAATGAGACAAACAGAGATTTAAAAGAAAAGTTTGCAATTGTGCGGAATCGAATCCGCGACATCTAAGGGCACCCGCACGGGGGACTTTCGTATGAAACCGCGCGGGAGTCCGCTTAACGCAGTTTCAGGCCTTAGGCTCCTGGCAGGCCAGGCGGTCATCCGTGACTTTATAAACTGAACAAACCACTTAGTCTTCACCAGTGTATTTTCCTTCCAGTAACCTAGTATAGTAGGAACTCTTGAATATTAGCTAACTACAATAGGTACCTACTACCCGGTCGCGCTAAGTTTGCTGGTCCTTGGAATGCGCGTCCCCTCCCCCAACCGCGATTACACGCAATTAGTTAGTGATTAAACGCAATTAATGTGTCTTTTTTTACGCAAATACACAATTTTTATCAATAATAATAAATAAATAATATTTTAAATGTAGTTTGTTATAGTTATAGACGGTTCTCTTCGAGCGACGTCATTTCGCCAGCAGCAAACTTATCGCGAACGGATTGTAGTCAACAGTTTTCACCAGTACTATTCTTCCAGTAACCTATTATAGTAGGAACTCTTGAATATTAGCTAACTACAATAGGTACCTATTTTCAGTTTTAACTTACTTATTCCATTTACTACCTTATCAGGGAGCTCCAGAACGACGCTGCAGTCAAGATCTGCTGGATCGCTGCGAGGCACGCCTTCGAGATGCTGAACGCGACCCGCCGACATATCTTCAGCTACCGCTGGGGCTACAAAGTGAACGGCGAGTGGTCCGGCATGATCCAGGACATCAAGTCAAATAGGGCTGATTTAGGTAACGCCATGTCCTACTACCACGGGACTATTCCCACCTCTCGTTCCCACCACTGCAACTCCTGTGTAGCCAGGATCTACAGCTTGACCGCCACAAAAACCCAACCAATGAAGGTCAAGTTTGTCCCGGGGGAAAGTTAAACTGTCATTGGACCCGTAACGAAATTAATCAGAAGAACATAGGAGGAGTTCGAAATGTCCTACTACGAAGGTGTAGTACCTTGGCAAGTTTTCCAGTTTGACCTTTCATTACATTAGCATAAAAAAATTATACCAACCAAATTGAGAACCTACTCATTGAAATCGGTTAGCAAAGTCGCTTTTCGCTCTGTCGCTGTAGGTATGCTTATATTATTAGATAGAGTGATTCAAGAGGAAGGTTTTTATGTAAATAAATTGAACCTATGCGAAGCAGGGGCGTAGTATAGATAGGGCGTAGTAGATCTAATAATAAAGCCTAATTTAAGGATGCTAATTAATAAAATAGAAAAACGGTGACAGTTGCCTGCCTTAAAATGAATAGGTAAGAGCAAAATAAAACAGGTAATTACGTAGTTACAATTTTATTTGATTAATAGCAAGACGTAAGGTACATAGAATCAAATAGGTACAATACAATATTATTCAGCTTCTTATTTTATTACAAAATAATTTAAAACTTAATCTTAGAAAATAACTAGTTACCTAAATACAAGGACAAAAATTAAATGAAAGGATAACAATTAATATTACATAAGTATGACAGAATCAGTCTGTGGGCAGAACAGAACACACATAAATAATTAAGGCATGATAAAGGTAGGTACATTACAATCATTAGGTACATAAATAACAGGAACCTAGACATAATTTTAAAGTAAGTAGGTAACAGTCTTAAGGAAAGATCTGTGGTCGAACAATTTTTTCACCTTTAACCGCTTGAGTCCGAGACGGCATTAATTAATGTCATAACAATTGATTGTCAATTGTGTCTAGATTCGCGGGCCTTGAAGGATTTAATGATAATTTTGATGTCCAGAGGCATTTGTATAATCTTGAGCCGCAAAGCTAGGGCAATTATATGTTTACACATCATGTTCCTGTTGTAATCTATGCAAGCACATGAGGACTCCATCCACTTCTCTGCGTATTTCGGCATGCAGGTTAATATTAACCTGTTACTCGGGTTTAGCTCTTTCTTGTATTTTTCGAACAGGTCACCTTAATGTAATGTATTTCCTACTTCCGTGGGGGTGAAATATGTGTCTGTATTGTTTTCTCCAGAAAATGGACTACATGGAACGGTCTTATAAACTGTATACAGGCGCGGATCCAGCCCTCAAAAAAGGTTGTGGGCACAGCCACCAAAAATTTAGCAAAGTGAGAGTTGGATTGGAGTACGAACTCACTCACTGAGCGTGAGTGAGTTCGTACTCATCACGCTCGATTTTTTAAAGGCTCATCAGTCAGCCGTTTTTATCATCAGCCTATATCAATCTTATCAATAGATCATAATTAAAACAAACAAATTAGGGTTGTGGGCATGCCCACAGTGCCCACAACGGTGGATCCGCGCTTGACTGTATACGCCTCTTTCCAATCTTCAACAGTTAATATACGATTTGGGAATTTCGACAGAGACGCCAAAGTGTTGTATCTCGACCACTTAAAGACCGTGCATGATGCTGCTGCAAGAAATTCATTTAATAGAAGTCTATCAGAGAACGTATTGCTGTCTTTTATGCTTTTTGTGAATGCATAAAGAGTTTCATTAGTTTCTTTAGCTACGGCCATCCCTGTAGCACCAAAATACCAATTCTTATTCTTTTCCACCCAATGTTGTTTGAAATAAATTAAAAACTGTTTTTGAGTAACATATCTCACGAAAAATGCTTCAAGACCCTTATTGAGCAGCTCTAATGAATGCGCATCTCGCAACACGCATACATCTTGTAAGAGGGGCTTCCTATAGTTTTCATCTACAAGTTCCAGAATTTTCTTCTCTATTTCATTTTTAACGACCGTCCAACATACTCTTACTACTGATTCTGTACCTAATACTTGTTTAAATGCAGCTTGCATGTTTTTAGAACCATCGCCCACTAAAACACATGGATTCATAGATTTCGAATGTACAGAAGACACACTTTGTTTTAAATTTTCAAATAACATTTTGAAAAAGTGCCATTTATTTTCAGTAGAAACTGCCATACTAATAGGGATAAATATGTTGTTTTTAGTAATAGTTCCCACAGTAACGATAGAATGGCCCTGCCATGTTAATTGGTTTTTTGTGTCTGCGACAATATTTTGTGCATCTATACAAAATTTTAGCAAATGTTTTGTAGTAATCGCAAAACAGAAATTTGGGGATGTGCCCCAGTTCAAATTATACATAATCACGTAAACCTCGTGTTCATCATCAGGAATTTTGGAGTGTTCTCCTAACCACTTTCCTAGTGCTGCTAAGCTAATGACTGGTTTTTCATTCGCTGCTCGATACTCACTTACTATTTTAAGTTGATTTTGCTTGTTTAAGTAGGTCATCAGTTGTTCGTTGGTAGGCGTTTTAAATCCTTCATATTTTGATTTTAAACATTTCATAATATTATACTTGTGGTGTAAATGCTGAAAGTTTGTCAATTGCACGTTTCGTTCTATGGGAAATTCCGTCACTCGGGACATCAACTATTTTCAGATGCCACTCTATCTTTTGCTTCTTACCTACATAGTGTTTGTTCTAGATCGTTTTCCAAATTGTTCTCAGAAGCATTTCTAACTCCTGGTGATAACACATTATCGTTACTATTTTCATCTGATGGTACTATGTTATTGTCACTGTTTTGAAGCACTGGCACATTATTGCTGTTGTTTTGGTCTAACGGCACGTTATTAATACTATCTTCTTGTGTTGATAAATTGTTTTTACAATTTTGAGGTGATGGCACATTATTAGCACTATTTTGAAGTAGTGGTACGTTATTATCACTGTTTTGATCAATGTTTATGTCACTATTTTGAGGTAGTGACACTTTATTAGCACTAATTTGAAGAAACTGTACATTATTGTCACTGATTTGGCCCACCATTATGTTATTGTCACTGTTTTATAGTAATGGCACATTACTTTCAGAAAAATTTTGGACTGGTGTCACACTTTGGTCACTAATTTCTCTTAAAGAAAAGTTATTTTCATTATTTTGCAGTAGTAGCACATAATTGTTTTGCTCTGAAAGCGAGAACACGGAATTGTCAATAGTTTGCACTAATCGTACGTTATTGTCACTTATTTCAGTTATAGACACGTTATTTTCACCGTTTTCCAGATCCATGATTGTAGATCTGGCACTCTTAACTTCACTAAAGGCAACTACAATTCTCCGTGAGTATTCACGTGCGCATCAAGTCAAACAGACGAGCGCTTTACATACAGTCTTAAGGAACGATCTGTGGTCAAACAATTTTTTCACCTTTAATGATAATTTTGATGTCCAGAGGCATTTGTATAATCTTGAGCCGCAAAGCTAGGGCGATTATGTGTTTACACATCATTTTCCTGTTGTAATCTATGCAAGCACATGAGGACTCCATCCACTTCTCTGCGTATTTCGGCATGCAGGTTAATATTAACCCGTTACCTGGGTTTAGCTCTTTCTTGAATTTCTCGTACAGGTCACCTTGTAATGTATTTCCTTCTTTCGTGGGGGTGAAATATGTGTACATAACACATTCGTCTGTATTTTTTTCTCCAGAAAATGGACTACATGGAACGGTCTTATAAACTGTATACGCCTCTTTCCAATCTTCAACAGTTGTTATATGATTTGGGAATCTCGACAGAGACGCCAAAGTGTAAGTTGTATCTCGACCACTTTAAGACCATGCATGATGCTGCTGCAAGAAATTCATTTAATAGAAGTCTATCAGAGAACGTATTGCTGTCTTTTATGCTTTTTGTGAATGCATAAAGAGTTTCATTAGTTTCTTTAGCTACGGCTATCCCTGTAGCACCAAAATACCAATTCCTATTATTTTCCACCCAGTGTTGTTTGAAATAAATTAAAAACTTTTTTTGAGTAACCTATCTCACGAAAAATGCTTCAAGACCCTTATTGAACAGCTCTAATGAATGCGCATCTCGCAACACGCACACATCTTGTAAGAGGGGCTTCCTATAGTTTTCATCCACAAGTTCCAGAATTTTCTTCTCTATTTCATTTTTAACGACCGTCCAACATACTCTGACTACTGATTCTGTACCGAATACTTGTTTGAATGCAGCTTGCATGTTTTTAGAACCATCGCCCACTAAAACACATGGATTCATAGATTTCGAATGTACAGAAGACACACTTTGTTTTAAATTTTCAAATAACATTTTGAAAAAGTGCCATTTATTTTCAGTAGAAACTGCCATACAAATAGGGATAAATATGTTTTTTTAGTAACAGTTCCCACAGTAACGATAGAATGACCCTGCCATGTTAATTGGTTCTTTGTGTCTGCGACAATATTTTGTGCGTCTTTACAAAATTTTAGCAAATGTTTTGTAGTAATCGCAAAACAGAAATTTGGGGTTGAGCCTCAGTTCAAATTATACATAATCACGTAAACCTCATGTTCATCATCAGGAATTTTGGAGTGTTCTCCTAACCACTTTCCTAGTGCTGTTAAGCTAATGACTGGTTTTTCATTCGCTGCTCGATACTCACTTACTATTTTAAGTTAATTTTGCTTGTTTAAGTAGGTCATCAGTTGTTCGTTGGTAGGCGTTTTAAATCCTTCATAATATTTTGATTTTAAACATTTCAAAATATACTTGGGTTGTAAATGCAGTGCTGAAAGTTTGTCAATTGCACGTTTCGTTCTATGGGAAATTTCGTCACTCGGGACATCAACTGTTTTCAGATGCCACTCTATATTTTGCTTCTTACCTACATGGTGTTTGTTCTTGGTCGTTTTCCAAATAGTTCTCAGGAGCATTTCTAACTCGTGGTGATAACACATTAAATTTATCGTTACTATTTTCATCTGACGGTACTATGTTATTATCACTGTTTTGAAGTAGTGGCACATTATTGCTGTTGTTTTGGTCTAACGGCACGTTATTAACACTATTTTCTTGTGTTGATAGGTTGTTTTTACAATTTTGAGGTGATGGCACATTATTATCACTATTTTGAAGTAGTGGTATATCATTGTCACTGATTTGGTCTAAAAACATGTTGAAGTTTGTATCACCATTTTGATCCATGTTATTGTCACTGTTTTGATCTATGTTATTGTCACTATTTTGTTGCGTTGGTACACTAATTTCACTGTTTTGATCTACGTTATTGTCACTATAATGTTGCGTTGGAATGTTATTATCACAATTTTGAAGTGTTGGCACATTGTTATCACTGTTATGATCAATGTTGATGTCACTATTTTGAGGTAGTTACTGACACTTTTTTTAGCACTACTTTGAAGAAACTGTACATTATTGTCACTGATTTGGTCCACCATTATGTTATTGTCACTGTTTTGCAGAAATGGCACATTACTTTCAGAAAAATTTTGGACTGGTGTCACACTGTGGTCACTATTTTCTCCTAAAGTTATTGTCATTATTTTGCAGTGGTAGCACATTATTATTATGCTCTGAAAGTGAGAACACGGAATTGTCAATAGTTTGCACCAATCGTACGTTATTGTCACTTATTTCAGTTATAGACACGTTATTTTCACTGTTTTCCAGATCCATGATTGTAGATCTGGCACTCTTAACTTCACTAAAGGCAACTATAATTCTCCGTGAGTATTCACGTGCGCATAAAGTCAAGCAGACGAACGCAGTATTTCACGGCCAGGCGGTTACTGATGACAGCCCACGAAAACGACGGTTTGGCCGGCTATTGTGGTATTGTACGGGCCCTACTCCGCGCAACAAGTTGAAGGCTTTTGTCGTCCCGCTCCGTCTCTTTCACTCCACTTGAGATACAGCTGCGGGTAACAAAGACGGGTGACGCCAACTGATAACCCTTTCCGTAATAACAATGATGTCGTCTCGCTCCCACTCACTCACCTGCGCGCGCGCAAAGATAATGTCGTGTTTTTTTTTAATAGACTTAATTTTAAAGTAATTACCTACTTATACATACAGTCTTATGGAACGATCTGTGGTCGAACAATTTTTTCACCTTTAATGATAATTTTGATGTCCAGAGGCATTTGTATAATCTTGAGCCGCAAAGCTAGGGCGATTATGTGTTTACACATCATGTTCCTGTTGTAATCTATGCAAGCACATGAGGACTCCATCCACTTCTCTGCGTATTTCGGCATGCAGGTTAATATTAACCTGTTACTTGGGTTTAGCTCTTTCTTGAATTTTTCGAACAGGTCACCTTGCAATGTATTTCCTTCTTCTGTGGGGGTGAAATATGTGTACATGACACATTCGTCTGAATTGTTTTCTCCAGAAAATGGACTACATGGAACGGTCTTATAAACTGTATACGCCTCTTTCCAATCTTCGACAGTTATTATACGATTTGGGAATCTCGACAGAGACGCCAAAGTGTTGTATCTCGACCACTTTAAGACCATGCATGATGCTGCTGCAAGAAATTCATTTAATAGAAGTCTATCAGAGAACGTATTGCTGTCTTTTATGCTTTTTGTGAATGCATAAAGAGTTTCATTAGTTTCTTTAGCTACGGCCATCCCTGTAGCACCAAAATACCAATTCTTATTCTTTTCCACCCAGTGTTGTTTGAAATAAATTAAAAACTTTTTTTGAGTAACATATCTCACGAAAAATGCTTCAAGACCCTTATTGAACAGCTCTAATGAATGCGCATCTCGCAACACGCATACATCTTGTAAGAGGGGCTTCCTATAGTTTTCATCCACAAGTTCCAGAATTTTCTTCTCTATTTCATTTTTAACGACCGTCCAACATACTCTGACTACAGATTCTGTACCGAATACTTGTTTAAATGCAGCTTGCATGTTTTTAGAACCGTCGCCCACTAAAACACATGGATTCATAGATTTCGAATGTACAGAAGACACACTTTGTTTTAAATTTTCAAATAACATTTTGAAAAAGTGCAATTTATTTTCAGTAGAAACTGCCATACAAATAGGGATAAATATGTTGTTTTTAGTAATAGTTCCCACAGTAACGATAGAATGACCCTGCCATGTTAATTGGTTTTTTGTGTCTGCGACAATATTTTGTGCATCTATACAAAATTTTAGCAAATGTTTTGTAGTAATCGCAAAACAGAAATTTGGGGATGAGCCCCAGTTCAAATTATACATAATCACGTAAACCTCGTGTTCATCATCAGGAATTTTGGAGTGTTCTCCTAACCACTTTCCTAGTGCTGCTAAGCTAATGACTGGTTTTTCATTCGCTGCTCGATACTCACTTACTATTTTAAGTTGATTTTGCTTGTTTAAGTAGGCCATCAGTTGTTCGTTGGAAGGCGTTTTAAATCCTTCATATTTTGATTTTAAACATTTTATAATATACTTGGGGTGTAAATGCAGTGCTGAAAGTTTGTCAATTGCACGTTTCGTTCTATGTGAAATTCCGTCACTCGGAACATCAACTGTTTTCAGATGCCACTCCACCTTTTGCTTCTTACATGGTGTTTCTTCTAGATCGTTTTCCAAATTGTTCTCAGGAGCATTTCTAACTCCTGGTGATAACACATTATCGTTACTATTTTCATCTGACGGTACTATGTTATTGTCACTGTTAAGTAGTGGCACATTATTGCTGTTGTTTTGGTCTAACGGCACGTTATTAACACAATTTTCTTGTGTTGATAGGCTGTTTTTAAAATTCTGAGGTGATGGCACATTATTGTCACTGGTTTGGTCTAAAAACATGTTGTAGTTTGTATCACCATTATTATCACCATTTTGATCCATGTTATTGTCACTGTTTTGATCTATGTTAATGTCACTGTTTTGATCAATGTTTATGTCACTATTTTGAGGTACTGACACTTTATTAGCACTACTTTGAAGAAACTGTACATTATTGTCACTGATTTGGTCCATCATTATGTTATTGTCACTATTTTGCAGTAATGGCACATTACTTTCAGAAAAATTTTGGACTGGTGTCACACTGTGGTCACTATTTTCTCCTAAAGTTAAGTTATTGTCATTATTTTGAAATGGTAGCACATTATTATTATGCTCTGAAAGTGAGAACACGGAATTGTCAATAGTTTGCACTAATCGTACGTTATTGTCACTTATTTCAGTTATAGACACGTTAGTTTCACTGTTTTCCAGATCCATGATTCTAGATATGGCACTTTTAACTTCACTAAAAGCAACTACAATTCTCCGTGAGTATTCACGTGCGCATCAAGTCAAGCAGACGAACGCAGTATTTCACGGCCAGGCGGTAACTGATGAGTCTGATGACAGCTCACGAAAACGACGGCTTGGCCGGCTATTGTTGTATTGTACGGGCCCTACTCCGCGCAACAAGTTGAAGATTGTTGTCATCCCGCTCCGTCTCTTTCACTCCACTTGAGATACAGCCGCGGATAACAAAGACGGGTGACGCTGACCGATAACCCTTCCCGTTATAACAATGATGTCGTCTCGCTCCCACTCACTCACCTGCGCGCGCGCAAAAATAATGTCGTGTTATTTTTTTTTGTACTATGGCCTGCGTGTTATTTTTAAAGGTCCGAGACTGTATGATGAAATGCAGCTGCCTGTAGGGCACTAACTCGCGTATCAGTGTTGTTTATTAAATCATAAACATTTTTTAAATCTATCTATATATATAAAAATGAAACCCGTTTCGCGTTGTCACGGCATCACGTGTGAACGGCTGAACCGATTTCGATAATTCTTTTTTTTAAATGTTTGTGGAAGTCCAAGGATGGTTCTTACGGAAAAAAATATTGAGAAAATCTCTACGCTAAGGCGGTACGAAGTTCGCCGGGTCAGCTAGTTGTTAATACAAATCAGGGCCCCGATTGCGCTATTTTTAACGGGTTACCTACACCATATCGAATTACAAATGATCGAAAATCAAAATATCGAACGTTCAGAATATCGAATTTACAAAATTAAATGATCGAACGATCAAAATATCGAATGATCAAAATATCGAATGATCAAAATATCGAAAGTCGATCTTCGTTGCATAGTATAATAGAAAGATGGAGGTAAGGAAGGGTTCCTTGTTGACTATGGTACCCAAAATTGGGAAATAAAAAAAATGTGTTTAAGAATTTATGTTTTATTTACATTAATCGTCTATGACATTTCATTAAAACCTCCATATTGATTTTTCGATATTTTAATCATTCGATATTTTGATCGTTCAATCATTATTTTGTAAATTCGATATTCTGAACGTAGGTACGGTATTTTGAGCATTCTATATTTTGACCGTTCGATATTTTGATCGTTCGATGAAACGTGTTTGATATTTTGATTTTCGATCATTTTTAATAATAATAAAACATTGTAAAAAAAATATTAATTATATGATAGGAATAAGAAGGAAATTGAATAAAGAGATAATAATAAATACACTTTATTGCACACCAAAGATAAGAACAGGAATTCCATTTGTAATTCGATATTATGGTGTAGGTAACCCATTTTTAACGTCTCCCTTCTTCTCCAGTTGCGCTCCGTTTTTTTAGCACTACTTTGAAAACCATATCTTTACTACTAAAACACAGCAAATGTTCGTGAAGGCGTTTTAGAAAAAATAAAACCGACTCCAAAAAACCTACACTAAAACGTAGAAAAATAATTACTAATTACCTACTTATTTATTAGGACGAATTATTAATATTTATGTAGGTATACCATGATTGATACTTACCCTTGGGGGTGAAATATTTTCTTCAAATTCGCATGAAACCACCCTTTTGATAATACCTATTCAACAAAAAAATAATCGTTCAAATTGTTTTATAATCGGCGGAGATATTGAGTATAAAAAAGTTCATCCCCAATTTTCCACCCTTGGGGGTTGTTTTTTTATTATTAAATTTAAATGGGACCACCCTTGAGGTATTACCTATACGCCGAAAAAAGATTTGTTCAAATCGGTTCATAATTGGCGGAGTTATCGCGTAACAAACATAGAAAAAAAAAACATACGGGTCGAATTGAGAACCTCCTCCTTTTTTTGAAGTCGGTTGAAAAGTAGCATTCTTTCAGCAGTTTCAGCTTTTACACAAAGAAGCAGTTGCGTTTTGTTTTTGTTTGAACTACTTAGCTGTCAAAGCGACACCGCGATTCGTTCGTCGTCTAGTCGCGTTACTAAGTAGTTGAAAATATTTAGCGCAATCGGGGCGGGCACATACTTAATTGTCTGTATGTATGGGGGCGCTGTGAGGTGCTACCTTGCGAAAATTTATGAATGCTTGTTATTAACATAATATTACATTCTTGCTGTTAATAGCATAATTATTAACCACATAATCAAAGTAAACTTAAGCCACACTTTAGTTATACAACTTGAGGTGTTGTCGTCCGTACTTAAAGTATTTGATTTAATACATAGCATTATGTAGAATGGTTAAAAATGTATGTTAAGTAAGAAATAATTGTAGTAGACCTACCTTACCTCCCTTCTTTACCTCATTTCATTTTATTGATTTTTATATTCATTACAAAATCTGAGAATAAACGCACGTCACATTTAATTATTTCTTCATTATTTATTTACCCATATTTTAATTTATTTTAATCAGCACCCATCTAAGTTCTACCTTCATCAGGTAGGTAGGTATATGGCATTGTTATTATTCGAATAACAATATTATTGTTCACGTGGCATTTTTCCAAAGCACAAAAAGAATGACAAACAGTTATTAAGATATTTACTACCTATTCAATATTGAGAGGTAGATTTAATTCTTTTGAAAGGGCAAGAATGCGAAAATACCACGTTTTTATTGTTCACGTGGCATTTTTCCAAAGCACAAAAGAATGACTAACAGTTATTAAGATATTTACCACATTCAATATTGAGAGGTAGATTAAATTCTTGTGATAGAGCAAGATGGCAAAAATACCACGTTTCCATTCCAAATTATTGTTCACGTGGCATTTTTCCAAATTACAAAGGATGACAAAAGTTATGAAGATATAGGATACCACCTATTCAATATTGAGAGGTAGATTAAATTCTTTTGAAAGAGCAAGATGGCAAAAATACCACGTTTCCATTCCAAATTATTGTTCACGTGGCATTTTTCCAAATCACAAAAGAATGGCAAAAAGTTATTAAGATATTTACCACCTATTTAATATTGAGAGGTAAGTAGATTAAATTCTTTTGAAAGAGCAAGATGGCAAAAATACCACGTTTCCATTCCAAATTATTGTTCACGTGGTATTTTTCCAAATCACAAAAGAATGGCAAAAAGTTATTAAAATATTTACCACCTATTCAATATTGAGAGGTAGAATAAATTCTTTTGAAAGAGCAAGATGGCAAAAATACCACGTTTCGAAAACAGAATGCGAGTTATTGCCCATTGTTTTGTTTTTGTTAAAGCGTTTAGTTTTGTTTATTTAGCTACCAACTGCGTGCTATATTCCGAACGCCTAGACGTGGTGACTTTCACGGACATGGTAGCACCACTCCGCATGAGGTTCGTGTTTCGCCAGCCACCTCTCGCCTACGTGTCTAATACAGTGGAATCTCTACAACTCGAATCTCAAGGGAAATGCAAAAAAAATCGAGTTAACGAGTTTTCGACTTAACAAGAACTTCGAGATACAAGGACTTAACTGCTGAAATTTCGACTTGTAGAGGACGGACAAGCTCCGCTATAAGTAATCGTGTCCTGTGGCGACAAAGACAAACATCACGTTCACAGCTGTGTTACTTAGAAAGTTTCATTGATGTATTCTTTCATTGCACGTGTACAAGACAAAAACAATAGATTAGAAGCCCCGAACCCGAACATTCATTTTGGATTTTATTGTTATTATTTCGGGGAATTCCAAGTAAGACGTTATTATATTTTACTAACTACGACTTACGGAGTCCTCTTTTCTTTTTCGAGTTATAGAGTATAAATATGTATCATCAATACTTCGTAGGGAAATAACATTTTGTTCGAGTTACAAAGTCTAAATAATTCGAGATACCGCGTATTTAGGTGCTCAGCGGAAGGGAATGGCAATTTTTTTCGACTTACTGAGGATTTTGACTTAACGAGGTTCGAGTTATAGAGATTCCACTGTATCTTCTCTTTGCCTTTCTCGTCCAACGTGTGGGTTGCCATCGCTGTGTGCACAGCAGCTTCTACCCTCACTTTGTGCTTGACGAGCCATTGGGAGACCAAAGTGGAAAAGGTAACAAAAAAAAAACATGAGTGTTCTTAGAACTAGTCGTAGGTATTATAGATACCAAAACCATTCAAAATACCTCGTGATTTGATCACATTTGATCAGGATGATGGCGACGGCAAAGCTTAAACAATGATAAAGTAATCTTTGATCAAGTCACCACCAAATAGATAGTTTCATCAATGAATCTGAAAAATGTTTTTCAGAATCCAACACAGCTAGACGGTAGTATAAGTGATGCTTTACTCTTGACCCTGAGCGCCGTCGCTCAGCAGGGATGCTTTGTGGAACCTAAGAGAGCTCCAGGTAAGAGAGTTTGTTCCAGTTTCTTGCATCTGGTATATTTACCCACAGTAGAATACTCGATACATGCAGCAAAGTTCCTGGACATTTCGACATCTTTCCTAGAATTTTAAATATGGTTGTCATAGATTCTAGAACTAGAATTGTCAAGGCACGAAAACTTTATCAGGTCGTATTCTGGAATGGTTCCTGTTCACGGCGCTCATGGCTCTGTACGCGGCATACTCGGCCAACATCGTGGTGCTGCTACAAGCGCCTTCCAACTCCATCAAGAGCCTGTCACAGCTGGCTGCCTCCAAGATCACCCTGGCTGCGAATGACGTGGACTACAGCCGCTTTGTGCTGAGCGTAATTTGAGTTATTTTTTCTACCCAAGCACAAGAAAACGATAGTGGCATTTTGGTTGATTAGGTCTACCTACTTAACCTTCGGCAGGCAACACTTTTTTTGTATACGTAAAAGGCAACAGGGGTGACCAGTCACCCCACAAATATAATTTGAAATAAAATAGCTTTGTAATGAAAAATCAAGCTTTTTAATGATTAGATCTATTACTTTGTTTCATTATAAAACTAAAAATGCTTTCATTTAACAGTTTATATATTTTTAATAAATTATTTTTTAACATAAAGCACAGTTACAGCAAATATCTTTTCGATTTTCAGGGCATGAGGGTAGTTGACATTTGATACGAGATGTTTTAACTTTTTTGTCCAGTTTTCTTTGACACAGCACTCACCTTGCCTGCTTCTGTAGCTTTGCTGAAGGTACACCCTCAGGAGGTCCCTAGTTCATATTTAGAATGCCATGTGTAATTGCTCTATAATTCTCGCATCTCTCGCAAGAGTTACTATATTTCGTCGAGGTGTTTGACTCCAAGGTGATGAAACCAAGAAGACCAAACATGTCTGTTCTTACATAGTAGCACATTTTGTTTGAATTGTGCTAGTAGCGAAAATTGTTACGACGATGACGTCATCGTCGTAACAATTTTCGCTATTGGGAATAAAGTATTCCTCCTCCGACTGTACTGAGATTATTGACTTCAACTTTAGAAATCTTATTATCATCTGAGCAGCGTTTAAACATAGGAATTGACATCAGCAAGTCCATGAAAGATTTTTTCGATTTGATCATCCGAAAACAAAGCCATTTTTACTCCAAAACCAACCATTTACTTTAGCAACACGAAAAAATAAAGTATACGTAAAAGGCAACAGGGGTGATGAGTCACCCCAGCAGTGTCAAAATATCAAAAACATGAACCTAACGCGATATGTTGACGCATGCGACTGATATTTTTATTACTTTCACATGTCTGGTGTCTGTCGTCAAATCTTGCAACTTAAAATTGACCCACTTCCCGGTTTCCTATTGAGCTGAAATTTTGCATACATGTGTAAGTCCGATGACAATGCAATATTATGGTACCATTGAGCTGGTCTGATGATGGAGTCGGGAGGTGGCCATAGGAACTCCTAAACAAAACGGCGGAAACTCATCGAGTTTGGGTTCGTTGGATTTGTCTTTTCGAGCACTTTAGTGTTAGATAACGTCCAGGGTCCTGAGATTAAGATATAACTAAAAGGTGTAAAATAAAATTATAATTATGTACATTTATGTACAATTTAATGCTGTTGAAACATTGTTAAACAAATAAAATAAAAAATAAAAAATAAAATAAAATAATAAAAATAAACTTTTTTAAAAACAAGCTTTTATTCTGAATTTCGAAAGCTTGTAGCGCAAACAGAGAAAAAGAGGAATAAATTCCATGCGCGATACAAACTTTCGAAATTCAGAATAAAAGCTTGTTTTTAAAAAAGTTTATTTTTATTATAATTTTATTAATTTCTCATGTTTACAGCCATACAAGGATCCAACACATGTACACATTTATCGAAGAATCATGCCTGAAGGTGAAAAGCCTAATTTTTATCACATTCATGAGGGCGTTGAGAAAATCCGACAGGTATTTGATATACCTTACCTACCTACTTATTTAAAGTATTTTAGTTTTTATATCTAAGTACAAGTACGTTTTGTACGGCTAGGACGAAAAACTTTCGAGTTTTCAAATCGTTTGCGTACTCGAATCGCCATCAAAAGATTTAGTAAGAAAACTACAACAGCGCCCTTGTGAACATGTCGTAAAGTTAACTTAGTATGAGATGTAGTTGTACGAAACTTATTTTGAGAATCAAAATTGTCACGTTATCGTTTAATTCGAAGATTGAGTATCGAATTTTATCGAATACGCATTCGAAGACGAAAGTTGTTCATGCTAGAGGTACTGGTTACGTGTTTAATCCTTGGATTTCTCAGTTATCTCACTATTTACTAAAAACATTAAAATATTATTTTCCAGGGGCTGTTCGCGTATCACTCCATCGTTGAGCCGGTGTACCGCCGAATAGAAGAAACATTTCTGGAGCAGGAGAAATGCGATCTAACCGAAGTAGACTTTGTCAACGGTTTCGACGCTTTCACACCTGTAAAGAAAGATTCCCCGTACTTGGAAATGTTGAGAGTTGTGTAAGTGTTTTAAACTTTAACCCAATCCAAACATTTTCAGCTCTGAGGCTGCTGTTCTTAATTATGCCATTCAGCCTAAGATGTGTGTACTCGTTGGAGCTGGTCACCAAGAAACTAAAGCCTACAGATATAAAATTTTGATTGTCTAGTAATTCATTCCCCTATGCCCCATCAAGCAGCAATACCTTTTTATTAGGTAGGCAATCAATCTGGCCATTGTGCCCTCGTATGGCATGACTCGACCCGTTACCCTTTTTTCTTACTGTACAGTGCTAAGTAACCTTACTACTTCGTTAAAAACAGTTGTTTGTCGTACAGGTACAAACAGATCCGTGAGGCAGGCGTGCAGGGCGCGCTGATCAAGCGCTTCCTGGTTCCGAAGCCGCGCTGCGTTGGGGAGATGTCAGCCTTCACCAGTGTGGGTCTCCTGGACATCCAGCCGGTCCTGGTCTTCATGGTGTACGGGTTGCTGCTGTCCGTCCTTATAGCGATTGGGGAAATTGTGGTTCATAAAGTGTATGTTGATAACTTGATGTCATTCTTGGTACCTTTCATGTTTTATTTTTACCTAACTAGGTACTTATCGAAACTGATTCGGTTGCATCTGTCATAAAGGTCTAAAGAACTATAGCTAGCAAGCAAGAAACTTCAAGTTCAAACTCCTATCTGTTTGATTTCTTTTGTTACGGGTCCAATTAGGTACTATCCCCTGATAAACTTGGCCTTCACTTGTTAAGTTCTTAATTTAGCAACTAATCAAAATTAAATAATTAACAATTTAAATTATCTTTTTTCAGAACAAAACGATGCAGCATCAAGAAGATGAGGAAGCAATAAAGAATAAAAATTGGAGATTCCATCTATGCACGCTGAGAGTAGAATGGGGATGTTGCCTGGGTCAAAAAGCAAGAGTTTTAATTAGTCCGTCAGTTAACTTATAAAAAAATACTCTACACGTATTTTTCACTTTTTCAAACTAATGAAAATTTAAAGAGATAAAGCGCCCCAAAGTTCATAGGAAGAGGCCCGTGACGACAACGCTTGCTTAAAAATGCCGCACGTTGTGACGTCGTGCGCAACTTCAACGCACCATAACTATGTAATTATTTGTTAGATTGACAAATAAAAATATATGTGTCCAATATTTTTTGATATTAAACATTACGGACTAAAAAAATTTTTTTAGGCAACTAGCCTATTAAAGCACATTTTTAGAAACAGCAAGATAGTTTATTTGTCTTGTCGGTAGGAACTTACAGTTATGTAACTATGAACTTCATTGATAAACAAAATAAATATTTAATTTAAAACGTCTTCAATATTTTTGACACCCCTAGAACAACCTTCATCAGCTGAACTTTTAACAATTTAACAGTGGACTAGAGTCAAGTCAAACGATGAATCAGAATGCGTAAATTTAAGATGAGCTTAAGTAGCCTCTGTAATTTTAGGTGCAATCCAATTACTTCTTAGGTTTGCTGCGCCTTTTTTCTACCTTGGCTTTTTGTGACCTTAGCGTCGTAGCCTTACGAGGAGCATCAGCTTTAGACAGCCTCACAGAATGTTTCGTAGTTTTAGGAGAAGAAGGCATCTTGTTCATGAACGGCGCATCTATCCCAGACATCCTCAAACCATACTTCGGGCCTTGAAAACTTTTAGCCTTGATTTTGCTGGGAAGAGGCTGGATGGCAGTCTTCCTTTTAACCTTCAAAGGCTCATCAAACTCGTACTGTATGGCTGTGGTCTTCCTCGAAGGGCGTTTCGGGATTTCGGTTTTGCCATCTTGGGTCATTCTGACATCAGCTGGGGCCGTTAAGTTGGCGACCATTATGCGGAGGTCGGTCAGCGTCTGTCCATGGTAGTTCACGTCATCTTGCAGCTTATCCAGCTTCTTCTCGAACTGTTTGAACGCTGTCATCACCTGATTCAGAGTATCCAGCGGCCGGGGCTTCTGGAGTGACATTGTGTACATAGCGTCAGATTACACTAAAATTTTGAATTTGAGGAGCTTTAATGTTTATTGTTGATCACATCTCAATCGTTTGACAAATTTTCTCTCCAAAATTGAAGTCCACCCGACAGATGGTGCACTTCTGTTTTTATTTTTAATGTCACCTTCTAGCTTCATAGTAAAAAGAATACATTCAGTTTTATATTCATTGGATCTTGGAGGATCTTGGACTATAAAACTTCTTTGCTAAAATGATCATAAACAGGATCATCTTCAAAATAATATTATAGGATTTGGCGCTTAGTAGGTATGGCACAAATAGTGGTTCAGCAAGGGTTCAGCCATAAGCGATACCTTGTATTCAACACAACACACCCTGTATTCTGCCATAACTTTTTAAGGAACGAACGCTCTCCCTTGCAATGGTTGTAAACAAATACTGTAATTAACTAATAAATGCTTATAATATACTTTTTTGGAATTAATTTTCCTGAAATCATTTCGAGACACTGCCCAATAAAAACCACATCGACGCATGTGGAATGCGATCTATCTCTTCTCTATCTGTCATTTCTAAAATCTTTGCTTGCTGTCATTGGTGAGGTCAGCGAATCTGCTGTCACATCTGTCAGTGTCAAACGTGGAACACGAGCGCAATGGGTGACACCGCCGCGGAAGGCATTCAGAACCTAAATATTAACGAAAAGGCAATATTTTAAATAGTTTAATTTGTTTCAAATGTTCCATCTGTACGTTATTTAAGTGATGCTAAAGTTATTCCACTTCCGTGGACGCTGCGTGGGCCGGTTCAAAGAGGGCTTTGCCACATGGGTCGGTAGACCTAGTTCAGAATGAATCATGTTTAAACTTTGATATTTACTTTCCCATAAAATTGGTGTTCTTAAATATCAGCTGTATAATCAGACGTACTCTTATGTTTGTCCATATTTACGCATTACCCTTTCAACTTGGTTGTTTGCCGTCTTAATTATATTACGTGGACTTCCTATTGTAATCATTTTTTTTTCTCAGTTCATTTCTTTCCTCTTAGTGATTTAATTCAAAATCCTGTAATCAATTAAAAGGACTACTATTGGAAAAGTGATTATTGCCATTTATCTATACATTATATCAATAAGAAAGTGATTAACTGACCCTGCAATTAGAGCTCATAATTGGTTATAATTTATTCCTAAAAGTTTTATATCTATGCAAAAATTTAATTCTGAAATAAACAACCTTAAATAAATTTCCCTAACAGTCTAAAACTAAAGCGATGAAGGAGAAAAAGAAGAAGACGGAAGATTCCTCCGGAGTCTCAGAGTTGAACCCGTGGCCAGAGTACATTCAGAAGCGCATCGCTCTGTGGGACAAGTACAAGGCAGAGTATGCAGAGAAACTGGCTTCCAAACCGGAGATGAGCATCGTGGTGACGCTGCCTGATGGGAAGACCGTTGCAGCGAGTGCTTGGAGAACCACTCCATATGACGTTGCTAAAGGAATTAGGTACGTCCAACATACACCAAACACTTTAAAAGTCTAATTTATGGTTTACCTACTGAAAAATTATGTTAAAAGCTTAGAAACTTGTATTTGTTAGAGAGTAAAATTACTAATTGGTTAATGAAAATAAATTAATTATCAGTCAATTTTATCAAATCAATGATAAAAAATAGAAAATTGACATTGAGTTTGCCAAAAACATTTTGCATGCATTATTTAAAAAAGTACTTGATACTTTTAGGCACTAAAAGTTACTCAAGTGTTTTAATGTGCTATTTTGAATTTTTGTTGAATATACAAAAACTAAAAGGTTAGTAACATATTTTGCACTGACACTAGCATAGCCTTTGCTACTTACACAATATCAAATAACATTTTGCCTTATTTACTTGCCGCTAGCGAGTTTTGGAGTGAATTGTAAGTATCTTTCCATATGGTGGGATGTTTGACTGAAATGTGGCTGGTATTTTATGTTTTCCTAGCCTATATACTTATTTTAATTATTTAAATTTGTAAGTCTCATGCCCGCTTTCACCATCAATCCCTAATTTTTAAGTGACCCCTATGAAACAAAAATCCTGTTAAGTTTTATAATAGGGGTCACTTAAAAATTAGGGGTTGATGGTGAAAATAGGAATAACTCTCATATTTTAGAAATAGAAAAGATAGAAATTCCAATATGATTAGATCAGTCTGTACAGAAGTTTCAGTTCTGAATATTTTTCCAACAGTAGCAAATTTTCAAATAAACATTTTGAGTTAATCTAAAAATTCAGACCAGTCTGTCTAGCTGATATTGTATATTTTCCTGTTTGCTTTGGTTCTAATATCCTATCTTTTAAACGGAAAAGAGAATAATGACAAGCAAGGTATCTCCAGCGTAAACCAGTCGCATATCACCAAACATCTCCACCGCACATCCACCCCCCGAACCTAATGACAGCCCATCTCGTCTGCAGCCAGGGCCTGGCAGACTCTACCATCATCGCGCGAGTCAACAACGAGCTCTGGGACCTCGACCGACCACTGGAGGGAGACTGCAAGTTGGAGCTGCTCAGGTGGGATAATACGGACGCTCAAGCTGTGTTCTGGCACTCATCTGCTCATATGCTGGGTGAAGCTATGGAGAGGGTGAGTTTCTTGATCTTTTTTGTAATAAACCCCTTAGTAATAAAACTTACACGCTCATTGAACAGTGTTTTAAAGTGACGTTGTATGGAAATGTCATTTTAAAACAGTGTTCAACTACTGTGTAACTTTTTATTAGTAAGGGGAAACAATTTAGATTATGCAATTGTATTAAATAAAGTTTAACAAAATCACAAAAATGATATGATGTAAGTGGTATAAAGATGATGAAATAAGTCATCATTCAAAGAGGAGAAGATAGCTGGCAAGGGATGAATAGTAAAAATATGTACCTCTATTTGTGATTTATGGCCCCGCTTCTTAGCCTAGGCGCAGAATACCGACTTTTAATTGGCCGATAGTTGGGCCCGATTTTAATTTGTATGAAGAATCGGCCGATACCAAATCGGTGTAATGTGCGCACTCATACATCTCCATACTGATTAACAGCCCGACTCAACTATCGGCCAACCAAAAGTCGCTGGTCTACGCCTAGGTTTAGGGGATTGCTACGAGGGCGGCACTGAAAATTTCGGGAATCAAGGAAGTGAAACAACATTACTATTTAAAAATGTATTTATTGCTTTTTAAAGTATTCTCCGCGAAATTTGACACATTTTTCCATACACGAAACCAATCATTGAAGCAACCATTGCATTCGGAAGTTTGGGTCTCCAAAATGGCCGTTTTGTAGGCTTCCACAGCTTCTTCAGGTGATGAAAATCTCTGACCACGCAATTTATTCTTTATTTTAGGGAAAGTATAGAAATCATTAGGGCTTAGGTCGGGGCTGTACGGCGGATGGACTAATAATTCTATGTTTTCTTGCTCTAAAAACTCTTTTGTTCAGTGCGCGGTGTGAGAACTCGCATTGTCGTGATGGAGGATGATGCGGCGGTTGCAGTTCTCTTTACGGAGTTCAGAAACGACCTGTGGCAAACAAATGCTAGCATACTAATCTGCATTAACCGTTCTTTGTCCCCCAAGAGGAATAGTCGCAACATGGCCGGTTTTGGAGACAAACGTGGCCACCATTTTTTTTGCAACACTCCGTGAACGAACAATTTTTGTTGGCTTTAATTCATTTTCGAACACCCAAACTCGTGACTGGTTTTTTGTTTCGGGTTCGTACGCGTATATCCATGATTCGTCACCTGATACGATGTTGTATACAGCATTTGAGGATCCTGCATGTAATCTCCCGAGAGTTCTGACGCACCAAGTAACGCGAGCCGCTTTTTGCTCTTCACAGAGCGAATGCGGTATCCATCGGGAAAACAACTTTTTTACACCTAATTGTTCATGCAAGATTATTTGTATTTGACTCATGCCAATGTCTAAAGTTGCCTGAATTTCGCGGTATATCACATGTCGATCTTCTTCAATCAGCTTACGCACAGCATCAACGTTTTCTTAGGTGACTGCAGTTTTTGGACGACCTTGACGGGGATCATCACTGAGCTTGACACGTCCACGTTGAAATTCAGGAAACCAGCGATAAATTGTGGTTTTGGATGGGGCTTCATTACCAAATGCAGAAATCATCCGGTCAACACACTGTTTTTGTGTTAAACCACTTCAAAAGTCATAATAAATCATCGCTCTTGAATTTTCTCGAGTCAATTCCATTTTCTCAACGACTAAACAAGTTTGACAAGACCTTGTGATACGACCGAGAATCTTTTTTTAAATAAATAAATGGTATACGATTTTTAAAACCCTGGAGTTTGCAATTAAATAGATTTTAATATGACTGGAACAGTGGAAATATTCCATTCCCGATACTTTTAGTGCAGCCCTCGTATGTCTAGCACTGGACTGTCTAAAAATACGATGATGACATACTCGTAACTAGTGACATAGATGATTTATTTATTGTTTTTGTGAGATTTCCATTATTGTATTGGCCTAGCTAGCGTTAACGGAATCTAACTTTTTTTTTTAGGTATATGGAGGATGTTTGTGCTATGGACCGCCAATTGAAGAGGGCTTCTATTACGACATGTATTATCCTGAAAAAGGCGTAAGTTCCAGTTTATATGCTATTCACTTCATTCATTTTTTGACTATTCAATTTTCTGAATATTAGTAGTAATATACCTTTTAGCAAGTAAAATTTAAAAACTTTAGTGTAGCTAAAGCCCGGTCTCTGAGCACGTAGAATTTTGTCCAATGACCCCAAGCTACCCATCCTTATCGCTCGCGCGTAATTATGTTGCTACTTCAATTTGTTAGACCTTTTCCTGTTCACCCAAGCTTATGTAAAAAAAATCTTTCTCGTTTTAGGTATCAACCACAGACTACCCTGTGCTAGAAAGCTTAATAAAGAAGATAACTAAAGAGAAGCAGCCGTTTGAACGGCTGGAGCTCACTAAAGAACAGCTCCTAGAAATGTTCGACTACAACCAGTTCAAAGTGCGGATACTCAAAGAGAAAGTGGACACCCCCACCACTACTGTGTACAGGTAATTTGAAAGATATTTATGTTCTTTATACATTTAAATTTAGTTACATAATTTCCCTGTTTATTTACTATGTAATGTTTTTAGGTGCGGACCACTTATAGATTTATGTAGAGGCCCACACGTGAGGCACACTGGAAAAGTCAAGGCGCTCAAAGTCACCAAGGTAAGTCTTAATTTATTTATTAAACTTTAATGCTTTAATAATTAAAGCGTAACTCAAGAGTTACTCTGTCAGTCTTTACCTTTTCACAGTTATATTGAACCAATTTTGGTAAATATTATTATAGAGATAGGCTACTTCTAGTTAGACATTGGAAAAGTATGTAGGCTACCATTTTTTTCGCATTATATTGCCTCTGCATTAATGTTTCGGAATGGTACAAAGCATTTTGTTAAGATACTTACGCGAGATAAACTGAAGTCAGTGATCAGTATTTAAAAGTAAAGAAAATTAAATAAGGGTAGACTCTATACATATTACGACACAGGGGTTGACGTTTTAGAGAGGGGAAGTTAAATAGAGAGGATAGAAAACAAGGTAAACCAATAAAAGCGTTGTTATAAGGAGTTTGTAATTAGATTGAGTGATGTTATAAAGAGTTTACACTATAATCAGTGTAAACTCGTGTGGTGTGGTGGTATACGGATCTGAGACGTGGTCGCTTACTATGGGCCTCATAAGAAGGCTCAAGGTCACCCAAAGAGCGATGGAACGTGCTATGCTCGGAGTTTCCCTGCGTGAGCGAATCAGAAATGAGGAGATCCGTAGGAGAACCAGAGTGACTGACATAGCCCGCAGAATCGCTAAAATCAAGTGGCAGTGGGCGGGGCACATAGCTCGGAGAGCTGATGGCCGCTGGGGCAGGAAAGTTCTTGAGTGGCGGTCACGAGCCGGAAGACGTAGCGTGGGCAGGCCTCCCACTAGGTGGACCGACGATCTGGTGAAGGTCGCGGGAGGTACCTGGATGCGAGCGGCGCAGGATCGGTCTTCGTAGAAGTCCTTGGGAGAGGCCTTTGTCCAGCAGTGGACGTCTTTCGGCTGAAACGACGACCATCGTAATTTTGAACATTTTAAAGATGATTTTATGCATGTATTTTTATATTTAATTTGTAGTTTTTATCTTTCTCTATTGTCATAGAGCTCAGCAACATACTGGGAGGGCAAGGCAGAGGCGGAGAGCCTGCAGCGGATCTACGGCGTGTCGTTCCCGGAGCCCAAGCAGCTTAAGGAGTGGGAGTTCATCCAGGAGGAGGCCGCTAAGAGGGACCACAGGAAGATCGGCAAGGTAGGCGTTTTAACTTTGTTTTTTTCCTATAATCACCGCAGATATACATTTTTATAAGCTGCCTAAATACTATTTCTCTCATAGTTTTTTTTCCTATAATCACGGCAGATATACATTTTTATAAGCTGCCTAAATACTATTTCTCTCATAGTTTTTTTTTCCTATAATCACGGCAGATATACATTTTTATAAGCTGCCTAAATACTATTTCTCTCATAGTTTTTTTTCCTATAATCACGGCAGATATACATTTTTATAAGCTGCCTAAATGCTATTCTCCCATAGTCTTGATAGTTGTATGTTTCAATACAAGCCGATTACGTTACCATTTCGTTAAATTAATGAGTGCTACCGCATTTGCGCTCACTAATTGGCGCCACTAAAAAGTAAAGTTCTGTCATTCACAGTGCTGCCAAAAACAATTTTGTATGTCAATACAAGCTACTGACGTCGCTATTTTGCCAATTCAATGAGGTCTGTTGTAACTTCATCTATAGTGGCCTCACTGGTGAATGCAAATATGATTGACATCTTACAGCTACAGCGCTCACACAGGTTGGTGCCAATGTCTTAGCTAAAAGTGAGTGAAAAGACCTTAAATTACAGTGGCGCCAAATGGTGAGAGCACACTCACTGCGGGCGCCCGTCGCACAGTCGCGACAGCAATATAATTACGCGCGAGCGATAAGGATGGGTAGCTTGGGGTCATTGGACAAAATTCTACCTGCTCACAGACCAGATTATAGCTGAGATCCTGTAGTGTAATTATTGAGCTCAGCATTTGGCGCCACTGTGCGACGGGCGCCCGCAGTGAGTGAGCGAGCGCGACAGCAACATAATTACGCGCGAGCGATAAGGATGGGTAGCTTGGGGTTATTGGACAAAATTCTACGTGCTCGCAGACCGGGCTTTAGAGTATACTAATTTACCTAACACTACTGTTGTATTTTATTTTTTCCATGACTATCAATTTCAAAACTCTTTCACCATTATAACCTCTATGTCTTCAGGAACAAGAGCTGTTCTTCTTCCACGAGCTGTCGCCCGGGTCTTGCTTCTTCCAGCCGCGCGGGGCTCACATCTACAACACGCTAGTGAACTTCATCAGGGAGCAGTACCGGTGAGTTAGCTATTTATCAAATTTCTGATCCGGCGAACTTCGCACCGCCAACGAAATAGCTCTAACATCTATAGTTAATTTTCATCAGCGGCAATGTAAGATCTTAATAGTAGATTTATTCCAATCGATCTAGTAGTTCAGAGCCTATTAATTACAAACAAACAAACAAAACAACCAATGTTTTCCTGTTTTGTAGAAGTGTTTTCGAAGATTTCAAACTAATCATACTAACTTTATTCGCAAATGAACTGATTGCAGAATTGTTAATGTTACTCGTCCGTCAGTGGCGCCAACTGATACGGTCCCTAATTTACAATTTATTTTGCTTTTTGGATCGGTGAGGGTCACAATTATTTGTGCAAAAAAAAATCCTGTTAACCTCACCAAATGCGTTCAATCGGCAGTCCAATACCGACACTGTTGAGCTAATTTCGCCTTTATTGAATAGACATGTTGACACCACCAGTCAATTGACGTACTTTTTAAAACTGTCAAAACGAAACTCTCCCATAGATTTTGTATGGCACTACAAGCAAGTGACGTCACTATTTTGTCAACTCAATGAAACTACTCTTTTTCAATTACAATGCGAACAAAAATCGTAATTTACAGTTAATTTAAAATTAATTAAGTTTTTAAGACCAGAATGAAGGGTATTTTAAAAAAAGTTGTGGTTTCGAATTATTGGGGTATGGTGTCAAACTGTTTATTGTCATCTTTCTTGCAGTGCCCGCGGTTTCCAAGAGGTGGTATCGCCCAACATGTACAACGCTAAGCTCTGGCAGACGTCAGGCCACTGGGCGCACTACGCAGAGAACATGTTCTCCTTCGACGTGGAGAAGGAGACCTTCGCGCTCAAGCCCATGAACTGCCCCGGACACTGGTGAGTGACGTCACTGTTGGCGTACAACCAGGCCTGTTCATCTCCGCGAGTGTACATCGTAAACAAAACACGCACGATGGCCCACCTACAGGATACTATTCGACAAGGCCTCACATACGAGCGAGCATTGACTCACGCACGCGTATTCTTGTGTATGATGGAGAAAAATAAAGAAAATGGTGTACTAAATACTGTGCAGTATTTAACTGCATAAATAATTTAAAAAACACAGAATGTACTTTTTTAAGTTGCCTGAAGACACTGAGAGGTAAATAAGTGGTTAATATTATTTATGATAATTCATGCTTAATCATGTATTTCCTCCGCCATTTTAAGCAGTTTGACACCTCACTTGGGCTTCGGCGCAGTACCGATCACTGACGTTTGTCAACAAAATGGTGCTCGACTCTTGAGACAAGCTAAATTACACCATATTGTTAACGACATTGAGCATACATTTTTTTAAATACCTTCGCGAAGAAAACCTGTACGTACTACGTATTATTATTCTGTGGTACAACGCTAAGCTATGGCAGACGTCAGGCCACTGGGCAGGGTACTTACCTGCCATGTAGCACGTAACGTAGCATGTAACGTAACCAACCTTCAAGTGAGTACGGCTCGTCCACGGTCATCGCGTATCTGGCTGCGAGCTCCTGAATCCTACTGCGAGCCGCCTTTGTGCTCGCAGTGATACCGCCACTCACGGGTCGCTGCGATCTCCCTGCGAACCACGCGCGAGCAGCGAGCAGCGGGCTCGTGCCTATGTACTCACTTGATACAGTATCTGATACATAAGTCTTGTGTATTAACGTAATAAGTCATCATGGATAGAAAAATAATATTTCAATTTAAAAAAATGCTATAGTAACCTACCTACCTACTGCCTACTTTTCAAAACCATATCTAATTGAAGATAAACAAATTCCAGCCTAATCTTTGACAACCGCAACCGCTCCTGGCGCGAATTGCCTCTCCGCATGGCGGACTTCGGAGTATTACACCGCAACGAGCTTAGCGGAGCGCTGACCGGACTGACACGTGTGAGACGCTTCCAGCAAGACGATGCACACATATTCTGCACGCCGCAGCAAATAGAAGACGAAATGGTAAGTTTTAGAAGTCAAATATAAGACTATGGTCCTAAAGTTCTAGGGATTCAGTTATAAGGCTGCGGCCCTTTAGTCCCATCTATAAAGCGACGCGGGTGGGACGCTTCCAGTAAGACGACGCGCACATATTCTGCACGCCGCTACATATTGAGGACGATATGGTGAGATACTTCAGCAACTACATAATAATATAAAGTTGTTGCTCTTTAAAACTATCTACAAAGCAATCTGCGCATGGCAATTTATGTTGGAATAAGACTCGAAGTCTTCTGCAGACCAGATTTGGTTCCAGGTCCAATTACACTTTGTTTTTTCTCCTAGGAAAATTCTTGGCTTTCGTTGGCTGGGTTTTTACACGGGAATAAGCCTTGATTAGTTTGGAACTAGAGGCGCAGTGTAAAATGTCCAAGGATAAAATTCATCCATCAAATTGTTTTTACGCTTTCACATATTTACTACTGTTCGTTTGTCTCCAGGTGAAGTGTCTGGAGTTCCTGGACCACGTGTACACGACTTTCGGGTTCACGTTCCAGCTGAAGTTATCCACTCGCCCTGAGAAGTACCTCGGAGACTTGGCCACCTGGAACCAGGCTGAGAAGGTACGCCATCAATCATCGTATAACAGTCCATTGCTTGAACATTCATTTCGGCAAAGCAGTCCACTGCTGAACATTCATTTCGGCATAGCAGTCCACTGCTGAACATTCATTTCGGCATAGCAGTCCATTGCTGAATATTCGTTTCGGTCAAATGTCGTCCACTGCTAGGCAAAGGCCTCCCGCAAGGATTCTCACAGCGAACGGTCTAGCTCTGCATGTATCCAGGTACTTCCCGGGACCTTCAGAGATCGTTGGCCTCAGCTCGACTGGACATAGGCCTTTAATAATATGCGTCATTTTACCCTGTATTCATCTTGTCTAGCTGGAATGCGTCTTGGGTCTACAATACGCTTGCCGAGCAACGGTTTCCATTCAAGAACTTGATTACCCCGGTTATCGGTTCTTCGACAGATATGACCAAACTGTAGTAGCCGCATCAAATGTTCAGCAGTTACTGCGTAATACCACAGAATAATAATAAGTACTACGTACAGAAGTTTTACTTCGCGAAGGTATTTCAAAAAATGTATGCTCAATGTCATTAACAATATGGTGTAATTTAGCCTGTCTCAAGAGTCAAGCACTATTTTGTTGACAAACGTCAGTGATCGGCACTGCGCCGAAGCTATAGGGCTGACTTCGGTAAAATGATGTGACGTGAGGTGCCAAACTGCGGAAAATGGCGGAGGAAATACATGATTTAGCATGAATTATCATGAATAATATTACCTCTCAGTGTCTTGAGGCAACTTAAAAAAATACATTCTGTGTTTTTATTATTATTTAGGCAGTTAAATACTGCACAGTATTTAGTACACCATTTTCTTTATTTTCTTCCATCATACACAAGAATACGCGTGCGTGAGTCACATGTTCACTCGTATGTGAGGCCTTGTCGAATAGTATCGTGTAGGTGGGCCATCGTGCGTGTTTTGTTTTCGATGTAAACTCGCGGAGATGAACAGGCCTGGTAATACGCACTCAGTTAAACAGACTGTTAACGCCACTCTTGTGGAGTTTTAGGTTGACACTGTAGGTTTGTTGTTGACACGATAAGAAGTTGAACAGACGAGTAAATAAAAAAAAATCCTTGCAGGCGTTAGAAGACTCCCTGAAGAAGTTCGGTCGCCCGTGGCAGCTGAACCCGCAAGATGGCGCCTTCTACGGGCCCAAGATCGACATCACTATACACGACGCACTGCGCCGCGCACACCAGTGCGCTACCATACAGTTGGACTTCCAACTGCCGGAGCGGTTTAACCTTAGCTACGTCAGGTGAGAAGAAAGAAAGAATATTTACTCAGCAGGTTTTGGCAGCTGAACCCTATGGCGCCTTTCATGGATCCAAGATTGATATCACCTTCCAAACAGCTCGACTTCCAGTCGCCTGAGCGGTTTAACCGCAGCTATGTCAGGTGAGAAAGAGAAAGAAAGATTGATGGGGCCATCGAAGCCGGAGGAGAGGCTCGCTCGAAAGCGAGTCATAGTCTGAGAACTGCGGACGAATGTCTAAGGCTGGTTTTATTGTCACGCGGACTGTCAGTGCGGATCGCTCCGCACAGCCGATCTGTATGAACTGGACCTCCGGACCGCATTACTCTAAAACGCTCCCTAGAAGTTCATACAGATTGGCCGTGCGGAGCGGGTCCGCACCGGGCGGTCCGCGTGACACTAAAACCAGCCTTAGCTAGGACAATAACTCGCGGCTCCGTTTCGTTTAACTCCGGTAGACATCATCGGGTATTTTAGTGGTTAGGCCCCGCCCTTCTAGGGAGGAGTCCCATATAGCCCACTGGTCGTCCCCATCCGCCATACGCAAAGCATTTCCCAACATAAAAGGTAAGAAAGAAAGAAAACCTATTTATGTAGCAAGTTAGGCAGCTGAACCCTATGGCGCCTTCTACGGGCCTAAGATCGACATCACTATACACGACGCACTGCGCCGCGCACACCAGTGCGCTACCATCCAGTTGGACTTCCAACTGCCCGAGCGGTTTAACCTCAGCTACGTCAGGTAAGAAAGAAAAAAAAGGAGAGGATTTCCTTCAAAGCCTAAAGACAGAGGCTCGCTCAAGAACGAGTCATAGCTTGAGAACTGCGGATGAATGTCCAAGCTATAAGAAAGAAAGAATGTTTATTTAGCTTGTTAGGCAGCTGAACCCTACGCCATATCACCATCCAAACAGCTAGGCTTCTAGTCGCCTGACCGGTTCAACCTAAGCTATGTCAGGTGAGAAAGAGAAATAAAGAAGGATGACCCTCAAAGCCGGAGAGGCTCGCTCGACGCTCAAGAGCGAGACAGCCTGAGGTAGCTCCGTCATATTCACAAACGATGCTTGCTTAAGTGAAGCAGCAAATCGAACGCACAGCGTTGAATACAGCTCTGTGATTGGTTCGTGTTTGACCCTGTGCGCACACTGTGAGACCTCATAGTAATGTTTGTGAGTACGGGCGTTAGTGTGTTGTTCCCGCTCTCGTAGCGGGAGTCTTCTTGCACAGATGGGAGCATCTAGTGGGTCTGGGTATGCGCAAAGCATTTCCCGACATAAAAGGTAAGAAAGAAAGAAAACATATTTATGTAGCAACCCAGAAGAGAGGGCCTTCAAAGCCGGAGAGGCTCGTTCGACGCTCGAGAGCGAGACAGCCTAAAGTAGCTCCGTCTCAGGCAATAACTCGCGGCTGCGTTTCATTGGGCACCGTCGGGATTTAGTGTGTTGGCCCCGCCTTTTTAGCGGAAGTCTTCTTACGCAGATTTAGTGAGTATGCGCAAAGAATTTACCGACATAAAGAAGGTAAGAAAGAAAGAAAACCTATTTATTTATGGAGCCTTCTACGGGCCCAAGATCGACGTCACTATCCACGACGCACTGCGCCGCGCACACCAGTGCGCTACCATACAGTTGGACTTCCAACTGCCGGAGCGGTTTAACCTCAGCTACGTCAGGTAAGAAATTCAGATTTCAGACCAGTCCCGTCTCTCAGTCACACCGCTGCATATCTTGTGTAGCTGGGATCTAAAGCTTGACCGCTACAACAAAGCGCCAATAGCCTAACGGTGTCGCATTGACCGACTTGAGATCCGAGAAACGCTGATTCGATTCGAACCCCTTCGTCCACTGGACTATTGTGGTGAAAATACTTCTAACACAATCATTATTTATTTTATGTTATAGGCATAGCGGCAATTTTAATTGTTAGATAAGTACTAATTAATCTACTCCATCGCATTGGGGTAACCTGTAATGTTAGAGCTAAGATTGTTATTAAATAAATAAATAATAATATAATTTGTGCAATACAAATTATTAATATTCTAAAAAAAAAAATCAGTGTGGGCTGATTTTCTCGTTCTGCTAAAGCGAGTCATAATCTGAGACAGAACCGCAAAAGGCCATGCCCTACTGGCAAGAAGAGGCCGAAATTGCCGCAGAGGATGAATCTGGTATTCAAAATTAAGTCTACTTAAAAAACTTAAATTACCATAGAAACTGTAAAGCTCATTCCCAAAATCTAATCTAATCTTCATACTAGCATATCCAAAAGAATGTATTGCATTAGCAGTTTTTTTTTATTCATAACAAGGCACATTTGACCACAATCAAATTTGGTGTTAAGTGGGATGCAGTCTAGGATTAAAAATTCTATTTCCCTTTCACAGCGAGAGCGGCGACAAGAAGCGTCCGGTGATCATCCACCGCGCGATCCTGGGCTCGGTGGAGCGCATGATCGCGATCCTCAGCGAGTCCTACGCCGGCAAGTGGCCCTTCTGGCTCAGCCCGCGGCAGGTCTGCGTGGTACCGATAGGACCTAACTTCGATGAATACGCCCTACAGGTAAGTTGGAAGAGAAACCTTGCTTTGAACACAGGACCTTGTACACTTTTGGTCAAACCGCGGGAGGTCTGCGTGGTACCTATAGGACCTAACTTCGATGAGTACGCCCTTCAAGTAAGTTGGAAGAGAATCCTTGCTTCTACAGGCTCTATTTTAAACAGTACACTTCTGGCTCAGCTCTCGCTAGGTCTGCTACCTATCGGGCCCAACTTCGATGAGTACGCGCTTCAGGTTCGTTAAACGTGTTTCTGTACTAGTTTCTATTGCTAAGGTAAGGTCCCAACGTTGACGAGAAAAATGCTTTCAATTTTTTTTTTTAGTCAGAAACGTCAACTTGTCAAGCCAAACGTCAAGTTCCAATGCGGCCTATTGAAAAACAGTCTTAAATCCGTATTCACGCGTCATTTCGATAGAACGATTACTCAATAGGATCGCAAATCAGCGATTTGTATCCAAACTTCAAAATATGTAATAGGTGAATACCGCGGATGGTTTGGTCTCTACTCTAGACTTTAAACGAGCATGTGAGTGCAGTATTTTTATAAGTTTCGGGGTGGGCTGGGTGAACAAATTGAAATTTTAAGTGTCCTCATTTCACCTCGGCACCATTTTACCCAGGTGAACAAATTCGACCGCTTTAGTAGACTCAATGAGGGTTATCGCGATTGAAAAATCCGCCAGATGGCAATACGTAGACGGGAGGTCCAAATGCTGCATGATTGGTGGATTTTGACATATCTGTCAATGTCTCATTCACCTGGAAATTGAAACTAGATGAAATGGTTCCGAAGTGAAATAAGGATACTAAACATTGCCCATTTTTCACCCAGTGCTTTAATCCGACAGAATAACATCTATGATTGAAAATGAACAGAGTTAGCGTCTTCGTATATTTCAGTATTCTGCTTTTATGAGACGTTACAAGCGAAATTGGACCTTATTAACACTTACAATACGGTTCCAGGTGAACAAGCAGCTGTTCGAGGCGGGCTTCATGTCGGAAGCAGACACGGACGCGGGCGACACGCTCAACAAGAAAGTGCGCAACGCACAGCTTGCGCAGTTCAACTATATTCTCGGTAAGTATCTCTCTCTTTCTCTTTTTATTGTTTATTTTTTTAAAGATTATTAGTGATTTGTTATTAAACTATTTACTAATACCACAGAATAATAATAAGTACTACGTACAGAAGTTTTGCTTCGCGATGGTATTTAAAAAAATGTATACTCAATGTCATTAACAATATGGTGTAATTTAGCCTGTCTCAAGCACCATTTTGTTGACAAACGTCAGTGATCGGCACTGCGCCGAAGCTATAGGGCTGACTTCGGTAAAATGATGTGACGTGAGGTGCCAAACTGCGGAAAATGGCGGAGGAAATACATGATTTAGCATGAATTATCATGAATAATATTAACTACTTATTTACCTCTCAGTGTCTTGAGGCAACTTAAAAAAGTACATTGTGTGTTTTTATTATTATTTAGGCAGTTAAATACTGCACAGTATTTAGTACACCATTTTCTTTATTTTCTTCCATCATACACAAGAATACGCGTGCGTGAGTCAATGTTCGCTCGTATGTGAGGCCTTGTCGAATAGTATCCTGTAGGTGGGCCATCGTGCGTGTTTTGTTTTCGATGTAAACTCGCGGAGATGAACAGGCCTGCTAATACTCCCGTTAGCCCCTCGTACTAAGTTCAATATGCTTGTGTCACGAGTGAGCTCACCACAATAGTCGAGCGGCGGCGTGGACCAAACCCGCGTTCCCCGGACCACGAGTCGGCCAGTCCGACCCTTTCACCGTTCGACTATTGTGGCTATTTATAATAGTGTAGGACACTTCGATCCCACACTTTAGTTTTTAGTCTTAATCAGTACTTGCTTTTTAGTCTCAGGTCCCGTCCTCTCTTCCTTTCTATCTATCTCTCTCTGATAGTCATGCTCTCTGATTTCAGCCCCTTTTTTCACAATCTGATCCCGCCCCCTATTTTTTTCTCTGTGATTCCGCCCCCTATTCCTTTCCCTCTCTCTTTCCCTATCTCTCTCTCTCTCTCCGACCATGCCCCCTTTTCTCTAATACACTCGACAGCAAATAAATCGCACCACCCGCGACAAGCACTTTCAAACGTATGCATCCCCACTTCACACCAATATTGGTACCATTCAAAAGCCTAGTTCTAAACTTCATTTCATTATAGTAAAGGTTTTTACCCCAAAAATGTTTCTTTAGAAGGATCCAGAGTCACTTCTTCAAAAAATAGATAGTTACGCTTGAGCCAACTTTTATGGCTATAAAACTGTTAAGTTGGGATTAATCCCTATCCATCTGTTAAAGAGGACACGTGTGATTATTATTTGGTTTTATAACCATAAAATTTGGTCTAATTGATCCCAGAGGTGAACCCAAAGAGAGGTCTTTTTTCAAGTCACATTTATGGTATATGTTAATCATTTATTAAGAAATTAAATGTGTTTTTCTTTAAGGATATTTATTGGGCTTTCAAATAACACCAATATTGTTGGGGCACCATTATTGTGTCATAAGAAAATCTTTAAAGTTCACGTCGCGGGTGGTGCGATTTATTTGCTGTCGAGTGTAGTTTTCCTTCATGATCCCGCCCCTCTTTTTCTTTCATTTCTTTCCTTCTTTCTCTCACACTGTCACACAAGTGAGAAACATAGTTATAAAAATACAGGTCTTCGAAATCAAATACTATTCGCAATGCAATAAGCTATTAACTGGTTTTTATAACTAAAACTATCTTTCCGCATGCGGCTTCGCCCGCGTGGAATTTCGTTTGTTAAATTTTCCTGAATTTTCTTTGCTATAAACCTCACGGAGCCCGAGACCTTTCCAACGAATGCAAAACCGTGGAAATCGGTTCTTGCGTTCTGGAGTTATAGCGTCAGGAAGGAAAACCCGACTTATTTTTATACATGTAGTAGATTGCACACTAACTATTGAAGACTATGTTCGGTAGCGCATTTTCTNTTTTCTCGGCTTACTCGGTTACTACCGAAAGTTCATCCCAAACTTCGCGAAGCTAACAAAACCTCTCACGCAGTGTCTTAAAAAAGGCTCTAAAATAGTACTCGATCAAAATTACACCGCTTGTTTCGAACACTGTAAGACGTTATTATTAAATGATCCGATTCTGCAATACCCAGATTTCTCTCGTGAGTTTCTGTTAACAACTGATGCCTCCAACGTCGCGATAGGCGCAGTATTATCACAAGGGTCCATAGGCTCCGATAAACCTATCGCATACGCATCTCGGACATTAAACTCTAGCGAATTAAACTATAGTACCATCGAGAAAGAGTTACTCGCCATTGTATGGGCCACCAAATATTTTAGGCCATACCTTTTCGGCAGAAAATTCCAAATTATTACAGATCATAAACCGTTACAGTGGATGATGAGTCTCAAGGAGCCCAATTCTCGCCTCACGAGATGGCGACTTAAACTTAGCGAGTACGATTTCTCTGTAACTTACAAGCAGGGTAAATGTAATACAAACGCGGACGCTCTATCGCGTATTGAGTTAAATAACGACGAGATCAGTTCCATNTCTTACTAGATAACGAAAATTTCAGCGTTCTGGTCTTATCCAGAGGTTCTCAAATAGGGGCCTGAAAATGCGGCGAAATGGTTCCAGTAAAGGATGGTACGGCAGTGTTTGCTTCGCGCTCGACTTGGCGGGGGCACTGCCGTGCCCCCAGATATTAGATGATAAACAGTGAAGGGCTGATTAAGTGATTTTTTGAGACATAAAAATGCCGGTAGAGCCCTTGAGACATTATTTTATATTTTTTTAATTATTTTTACGGTAATCTACATCTTATGACGCAACTTTTGAGGGGTCTTGTGTAGCGAAAATATAAAAAAAGATATTTCGGGACACCCTACTACCTACCCTTTTTCACATGAACGCGTAGAGATATTAAAGTTGAAATTCATATCAAACACTAAACTTCTTAAATCTAATTGCCTCTAAACTGTGAAAAATTCTAAATCAACGCAAAAATTCAAAACGTTGAGGTAGGTTACCTACCTATAATCATACCGCATATTTTATGATATTTTGAAATTCGCCACTACTCGCAACGGAATCAAAACTTAAAGACTACTACGATATCTAGTATGTAATTTGATTTAATACGTCATAAATTGTAAACCGCTACGTTTGTACGGCGGAACCCTCGGTGTGCGAGTCCGACTCGCACTTGGCCGGTTTTTCTTATTTTATTTTACTGTGCATATTTTTTTTTCTGTGTCTTATTTCGTGTGTGACGTTTTATTTTAAACGCCAAGATTTTTCATCCGAGAAGCTCGCGTGCATTAGTGCATAATAGTAGGCCATCCAGTAGGCTCGGTGCAATAGACGAGAATAGGAATTTAGAGGAAACTATGGCTCATGTCGAAGGAACCCGATCGCGTGGCAGGTCACCAATGCGCTGGACCGACCAAGTGAAAGCAGCAGTGGGAGACGGCTTATGTGACTGCACCAGACAGTCTGCCAATAGAGAGAGATGGAGGGAGATCGTGCGGAGAGTTGTATCCGCCTCTACAACCGATGTGTACAACGCCTCAACGTGACCACGACCGCTCTGCCAAGAGCGTAACGAATAAGAAGAAGATGGCTCATGACGATATTGACACGATTTATAAGTCGCTTAGGCTCCTGCCTGAATTTGATGGTAACCCTCACATTTTAACACGGTTTATTAACTTGTGCGATAGTTTGGTGGTAGCTCATTTTAAGGTCGGGCCAGGGAATGATTTAAATAATTTAGCGCTCATAAACGGTATACTCAACAAGGTTACCGGTCCCGCGGCTAGATTAATAAACTCCGGTGGCATTCCCGATTCCTGGAGCGGGATACGTAGCGCTCTTATTAACAACTTCGCAGACCATCGCGATGAGACCGCTTTATACAGCGACCTTTCAATGCAAACTCAAGGTTCTAGCTCTCCTCAAGAGTTTTACGAACGTTGCCAAAATTTATATAGCACTATTATGACGTACATAACTCTTAACGAGTCCGTCCCTACTACAGTCGAGGCAAAACGCACTCTTTATAGTAAACTCACCCTTCAAGCCTATTTACGTGGCTTAAAAGATCCCTTGGGCTCTAGAATCCGTTGTATGAGACCACAAACTATGGAAAAGGCCCTTGAATATGTTCAAGAGGAACTTAACACACTTTACTTGCAACAACGTAATGAAGGCCCCAGTAGGAAAGAGTGGGTACAACCGTCACCATCTAACTCAGCCTTGCCTACTTATAACTTGCCCTTAAATAACTTTGCTCAGAAAATGCCAGTGTTCAATATGCCTGGCCACTCCAGACAATACAACCCTAATATTCCCGGTCCATCCAGGCAACATCTTATGCCACTTCAACCGACACAAGGGTGGAGGCCAAATAATATGCAACAGATGCAGCCCCCACGTGGGCCTACCAGAACTCAACAGATGTTCAGAGCCCTTCCTCCCAACTACAACCCTCAAAGTAATGTCTTTAGACTGGCAAGACCCCAGCAGCAACCCGCGCATAACTTCGGCGTCCCACGCCCTATGAGCGGCGTAGCCCCCTTTACCCCTAAGCCGTTACCTCCAACTGGCCATGATTGGCGCAAATTCGGCAATCCACCGCCAAGCAACTATTTCAAGACTCGTGAAGTTAACTTCAACGACTTCACTTATGATTACGATCCTCATTACGATTGTGAGCCTCAGTATGACTACTATTACCCAGATTTCAATGCCTACGAGCAATACCCTGATTATTACTATGAGTATGAACAAGACCAGACTACAGAGTCTCCCGTGGTCGAGGAAGCCGCACATAGCATTCCCTCAACTGATGAGGAAAATTTTCAGAAGGTCTCGAAGTCAGACAAACGAAAATAGAAGTAAATTTTCATATCCAAAGGCAGCTGGGCTACATACAAATTAAAGACCCTCCTTTAAAGCTCTTGTTAGATACAGGAGCCAATCAATCCTTTATTAGCCCACAGGCCGTCCAAAAATACTTTAACCACATTCCACTTAACTATGAACCTTTTCAAGTAACTAACGTTCACGCTACCAGCAAGAGCGACCACTCTATAACCTTACCTTGCTTTAATGAATTTAAAGAGGAAGGCGACATTACTTTGTTCGTGTATGATTTTCATAGCTATTTCGACGGTCTTATTGGCTTCGATTTACTTGATACTTGGGACTCTAATATTGACTTAAAAAATAAATCACTTATAACTCGCAATGCAAAAGTCCCTATAGACATGTACGACTCACGCAACGTTAACTTGTATGAGGAAATTATACCGGCTAAAACATCAAAGTTAGTTCGATTGCCTATAAATAGCCGAGACGGAGATGTATTTGTGACAAGCCAAGTCATTTGCAACTGTTTGATTTCCGAATGTTTAACTAAAGTAAAAGATAACCGCGGTTGGGTAGAGATCACGAACACTACACCTAATGACATCATCTTCTCAATGGACCGCCCGGTTTCAGCTGAATTACATAACATTAACTGTGAAAATACCGAGATTTTATCAGACCGAACAAAAGAAGTTTTATCACGACTACGTACAGATCACTTGAATATTGAAGAGCTGACTAACTTACAAAACTTGTGTGCTAACTACGCGGACGTGTTTTACCTTGAGGGGGAACCTTTGACGTTCACCAACAAGATAAAACATAAGATAAGAACCACTGATGAAATCCCGGTACACACTAAAACCTATAGGTATCCGTATGTCCACCGACAAGAAGTTCGCGATCAGATCGAGAAGATGCTCGAGCAAAACATCATCAGACCCTCAGACTCTGCATGGAGCTCTCCTATTTGGGTCGTCCCCAAAAAGGCAGATGCCTCAGGCAAGGTTAAATGGCGTCTTGTCGTGGACTTTAGAAAAGTAAACGAGAAAACGATTGACGATAAGTACCCGATCCCTAA